CGGCTCTGCAGAGTGGGTCGACGAAAGAAGAACAACAATAGCAACAGACATTGCCTCTGGTCTTGCTCATGATGGACGACTTGTGTTGGAAACTTGCGGACAAAAGATGCCGTAGCTCTCCAACCGTAGCTCAAACGAAGTTATCGTTCTTCGATATGAGTCCAGCGCGTTGATGCGCACCTATAGGGTATACTTGGACGTTTCACTATGACGTCACTCGGACGTCTGATGTGACACTGATGACGTCACTATGACGTCACGCGATGATGTCACGGGATGATGTCACGGGATGACGTCAGCAAAAAACGTCACTGATTCCCGTTTTCGAATCGGAATTCCGATTCGATTCAATGGATTCGATTCGAGTCAAATGAGTCAATTTGACTCAATGGACTCAACGTGTCAGCGAGTTTCTTCGATCGAAAAGGAAAGAAAGAAAAAAGACTGACAATGGCGCTTTCAACCGGTCGTATCGGTAACACCGGTCGCTTTTGTTGTTATCTGTTGATAGTAGCCTATCCAGTGCACTCCTGCGCACACGTGGATACCCTTGGCTTACCTGTAGACGGTCGGAAAGGCTTCGAACGACCGAGTCGTTATCGTCGCCGTATGTCACTGTTGTCTACTTCTTCACCGTTCGAGGGCTTCAGAGCTCCGATTCGGCTTGTTCCTTCGCTCCTCAAGAGCACCTGAAGGCTTGTATTATAGTAGTAGTAACTGTGTAAACACTCTTTTCTTTTTAGATGTTGATTAAACACTAGAGAGACTGTTTGGCCATGGTGGAGCTTATTTTAAAAGTCAGTCTAAAAAGAAAAGTGAGGAATCGCTTTTGGTGGTCCAGTCGATTTCGAATTTCAGTCCCGGATACTCATGACTCAAGAGAGGGAGCTTTGCTTATCTTGAGGGAGTTCTTCATCCCACACCATTGCCAGCAAAGACTGGGGCCATGCTGTCTTCTTGGGCCAAACACACATCAAATGGCTTGAGTAGAACCGAGAATTCAACCGAACCATCACAAGAAGATTTGGGAGAGATACCAAAGCTGGGAGATTCTCAACATGAATGGATGGCTCTGACTATGTTGTGGTTGATGGTGTTGGTGACTTAGTGGGTGATGCTGTGACATTCTCAAGCACAGGACTGGTAGCTATGGTGGTAGCCGTGGTGATATTGGTTGACTCCAAGAACGACTCGTCACTGACGCTCCAAAGCAACAGCAGCATGCTGTTGAAATTCCACCAGAACGTACACCGCTTCCACCAAAGTCAAAGTAACAATTCCATAGAGAAACACTTTCATGGTTCCGATTATCCAGATTGCAGTAGTAGCTTCCGGTTCTGTTTGTTTGATGTGCGTGAAATTGCTGGTCGGAGATTGTGCCAGAGGAAGGATGCAGCGAGCTGGCTGGTGCTACGATCGAACTGGTGCTGAAGCGTCGCTTGAGAGAGAAACAAATTGTTGCACACGTGTAAACTCACTGTACACTCATTGCCTTTGGATCTGTCAGTGGAGGTCCTTGCAGACTTGAAACGGACACTCACTACCTGGTACGTTGCTTGACCAGCGCATCGTCCAGGTGCCAATCCGGTTCTATTTTTTGGTTCTCCAAGACGGGAGATGATTAAAACCGAGACCAACAGGACCAATCTTTTTCTCTAAAATACCTAGTGTTAGAACATGCACGCATAAAGATAATGTCTGGATCATTTTCGTTGTGCTGTGTGCGGTACAGTACTGCTTCATGCATCAATGATGTAGAGTTTGCCAAGCGTCCTGTGTCGTACCACCATGCATGCATGCAAGCCAGCCATGCAGCCCTTCCTCGAACCTGGCACAAATTGGTCCGTCCTTTCGTTCCAGATCGGCGATTTTTGATAATGAATGGACGGATCGAGTGTAAAGTGTTCCTCCACCCACAATTAGTTGTGCGTTTTGCTTTGATTTTCTACTCCATGCTATTGTTGTTGTCATCACTATTGTTCGTCGTTGCTGTCGGATCAATTTGGAGACTACCTCGTCGCATAAAGATGCCTCGAACACCTTCCAATCGAGGTCCCGTCATGCGCACAATGCGCAGATCGACATCGAGATAGGTGGTATCCATGGCGTGATCTTGTGGATCAAAGAGTTCCTTGGGCATGGCACGATGCAAGCGTCCTACGAGCCCCTGGACATCCTTGGGAACTTTGGATCCTTCCCCCAACCGCAACACGTGATCGCACTCCTCCTCCACCACCATGCGAGCACCTTGATTAATAGTGTACGGACAGACGACGGAAAAGGTCCCCGTGGCATCGAATGAAAAGTCTTGATCGTCTGCCAAATCCCACACGGCCTGATTGGTAATGGTTCCCTTCAAATTGGACGTTTCAATTTTTTGAAATAATTCGCGCAATCGGAATTTGGCCGGATTTCCCGGACTGGCCAAGTTGGTACTAAACAAAAGTTGCCATTCTCCCGCCATGGCCAAATTCAAAAATCCGAGGGTTTGCGAAGGTGTGTATTTATCCTCCAACGCATTGACCAATTGCTCGACACGACGGAATTCGTCTTCTTGGCCCGTCATGCTGGGAATCAAATTCACCAACTCGTCTTTAATAACATCCACCGGTCGAGTATCTTCCTCGGCTTGCCGTTTGGTTGGTTTTTCTTGCACCGCTCCAAAGCCCTTGGGAGCTACTGTGGCTTCCGAGAAGACTCGAGTCGAGGTTCTGCTACTTATGGAGATGGAAGGCGACTGAGGTGTAAAACTGGAAACCAGCTCCAAGCTCAAGAGTAAGATTCCCACAAGAGAGAATCTTCTAGCAAAAGTTGTGGAAGACATCATTGTTGATATTTTAAAAAGAGGGCTGCTTGCTCAATAATCTGGCTGGTCAAGATAATGGCTGGTGGGAGAAGTGGAAATGTAGAGTAGAATGTTCAGCAAAGCAAACAAGTTCTTCCTTCTAGACTAACATCATCACCACTTCTTGTTCTGTTGCTTTTTGATCTGGACGTTTGTGGTGTTGTGAGGTGGTGGTTGGTGTGGAGGCACCTCTGACGTCACTCACGGGTGCTCGTGTCTGATTATTCCATTCGATTCGATGAAGATTCGATTCAATTCAATTCGAATTTGAATGAGAACTCTCGGTCGGAGTTCGGAGAAACCTTTAGCTCTTCGGCCGCGACATGGATCCTCTGGCTGGTAGCTAGCTAGCTAGCAAGCCACTGGAGCACACTGCTAGCTAGCCGGCTGGCACTAGCTAGACCACATGTAGTCAGAAGCAGCAATAGTGGTGGACCCGCCAGTTAGCTCTACAGGGAAATATTTTTGCATAGCATGGGTATCTCATTGGTTTGTTGGCTGGCAATTCAGTGGCAGTGGAGATCCGTTCGGACCAATCCCAAATTCAGCAGATTGAAGGATTCGATTCTTCGCTCGCGTGGCTGTTGCGAGGATACTAGACTAGCTAGCTAGACTATCAAAACTGGTTTGGCAGGGTTGGATGTGCTGGCAAACCAGCCAGCCAAAGGTACGAGTACCCTTTGGTTTTAATTTGCGCCTTCTTGACCTGCTTTGATCCTTTTGCAACGACAGCCAGCAGCAAAAACTTTTGACTAGCTTGACCTGTTGTGCTAAAAATGCTCAGGTAGTCTAGCTCCCGTAGCAAGCAAGGGAATGATACCAACAATAATAGGAATCAGATTGAACGAGACAACCCACAGACAAGCCAGCCAAAAACGAGAAACAATGGCCTGAGGTACTGTACGGTACCGGTACCTGGTAGCAAGGTCCACACGAGGCGAGGACTTACGACACAAGGGTACTGTAGTCAAGACAAACGTATAAACTGATGCAGATTACTGTATAAATATATTGATTGAATTCCGACATTCACTCCAGACAAGAGGACCTTTTTCACCATGATATATTTTATGGCAGTGCCACTAGTAAGCTTGTTGTCGGCTGGTTAATCACCCCACAAGCATTTTAAAAGCCAGGGGTAACAGGTATAATTGTGGATAGCAATGGGCTTCCCGTCTTGGAACCGTCTTGGGATCCGGAATGACCGACCAATATAATACCTGGGTATCCATCTTCTTGTTACGTTCGTTGGGTCGATCTATTCATCAATTGGTGACAGATCTATTGAGGGCAGGCCTTCCTTTTGTCTTGAACAAATCCTCCGGAGAACCTCCTTCACCAGCAGGTTCTTCTGTCGCATCTCCTTCTTCCGCTGCCGTTTTGGTCTGTTCTCTCAGCTTTCGGTTTCTCCAACTTTGTGGCATCTGTTCTCCATCCAGCGTGGATGACCTCTTCAAACGAGCGATTCTCGTGTTCTTGGCATCACTGGCCGTTGTTCGACCAGCTCTCCTCGATCTTCTAGCACCGACAGTGCCCTCGTGAGACTGAGACATGGCGGGACAACCCTCCTCTGTAGCTGCTTCGGCTGTCATCTTGCTCTTTCTTTTATCTTCTCTATCTATACTATGATTCTTCTTCTATTCCAAGCTGTCTTTGATAATGAAGAAAGGGCCGGTTGGTTTTGGAAAGAGTTCGCCTCGTTGATTTACCACCTTCTTCGTGATGGCGATGTCTTCTTTGCGTAAGTGATGCTACCGTTGATCGCATCTGCATCAGATTCTTTTATTGGACAAGATTGCCTCCAAGACAGGTCGCCGCATGGAAAGAATAGCCTAAACTCTAATCATCTTCAAACCATCCACGACCACACTTTGCCCCACAGACCGTGGAAACATGTCAATCCATCCACGCTCCCCCGAAACCACCCCGAAACTGTGCCAACGCTGAAAGACAGCCATGGCAATCGCTCCCCATCGCGATCGAAAACGAAAGGAGCCACACGCCGTTCGGAAGCACACGGGAGAGAGACGAAGCACCAATCGTCTCATAAATCCAGTTCGGTGATCGAATCACAATCCAACACAACCACCACACTCTCCCATCCATCCATCCATCCATCTACAGTACCATGAAAGTCGACACCAAACAATCCAACAGTCTCCTCGCGGCATCGGCTGGAAAGATGCCCAAAAAGCCATTTTCCGCCGGTCAATCTGCCCGGAAGCATCATTCCAATATTATTATGCCCATTGCAACCAAGACGCTCTCCGCCGAAGCGAAAGTGGACGTGACAAAAAATACTCTCTTCCCAAGCACTGGCAACAACAACAACGAGAATCACAATGGAACAACGACTGCTGCCAATCCCTTTGCACGAAACTCCTACGAAGAAGTCGAAATTGTCATTGGTGAACGTGCATCTCGTCCAACCTTTTATTACTTTGATGCCACCATGTCGTACACATTTGGGGCGTTTCACTCGGAGTGATGGCTCCATGAGCGACTGTCATGACTGGACGGGGTTCGATGGAACGGAAAGGATGACGGAATTCCACAAACGAAAAAGCAAAACTATACACAAAAGGGTCCACCTCTTCTTTCTTCAATGAAAAATGGACGAGAGAAATGACGGAATTAAACTAGAAAAGGAAGAACCGAAGAACCTTAGACGACTAGACTCGAACTCTAGAATCTAGCATTCCGTTCTCTACTAGACCCAACAGCAAAGTCCATAGCGTGCGATTTTTGCCACTATTAGACTGCCAAGAGCTTGCAAAGACTTGCTAGGAACTATATAGTTCCTATCCCACTGTGGGAGCTGCAAGCATGTCATCTAATAGCAAAGAACAGGCTTGTGATTGTTCCCACTAACTGCTCCGCATCATTTCAATCCATTCATTGGTGTTCCCCAGCACTGCATTTCCCGCAAGGATTGGTCCCAGCACAAACATCCCTACAGCAGTTGGCCCCAGCACTGCCACCTGGGTTTGGCCATGCTTTTCCTGCAGCCATGCGACTCTTCTTCTGCGCAGCACTATACATCGTACCGTATCCCTTATCTCAGCATTTCTGTCATCTCCATATTGTCCTTGGTTTGCAGCATCCGTACCAGAGACAACCACTACTCTCCATTATCGGTTCCGTCGTCACAGTCATGGCCATCCTCCGTGCTTGTTACGCTGGATCAATTGTCTTGAACGTTGACGGGACTTACATCTTTTCTGTGCTGTACTGTGCTGTACTGTACTGTACTGTACTGTACTGTACTGTACTGTAGTGTACTGTACTGTACATGTACTGTACTGTACTGTACTGTACTGTACTGTACTGTACTTTGATGAAGTTGGTAGGGCACGTGTCCACGTCAATCTTTGGCTCTGGGAAGTGTGACCACACCGGTAACCAGGTGTGCCAAAAGCAATCGAAATTCCAGCTCTGAAAGCGCACACTCCAGTCAAGTTGTGGTACTACGTTTTGGGTGCACACCGCACCAAAGTGCTCTGCCAAGCATCTCTAGCTAGTAGAGGATCCGGCAGTACTGAAGGGGAACAAACCGACCTGTCAAAGCGAAATCCTGAGATCCCCCGGCAGCCAGCCCAGCCCCTCCTCATCACCCATCCACAAAAAGGGATGGTCTTTTTCTTGATGACTCGACTCGGCTCGTAAAGTTAGTCATTACTACTAGCTAGCGGGCGAGCTAATGGGTGCGGACGTGCCGACCCACCCGGGGCCTACCATGAAGCATGATGCAGCCATGATGAAGCTTATCCATTTTTCGCTCGTTGCTTCCTTCTGGACTGCTGACCTTTGCTGGCCGGCTAATTAGGAAAAAGGAAGAGGCCTTTGGCTTTTAAACTGACGCCACCTCTTTCTGTTCTGCCTCGTGCAATTGCGCTTCGCTAATCTAAAGAAGCATCAGTACAATTCGCCAAGCGCTGGATTCGATTCCGCTCGTCACCACTTCCTTTGAGCGGAGCTCTCCTGCAAGCACAAAAACTGAAATTATTTAGATGTGGATCCTGAAAGTGCAAGCAAGATGCTTCCGAAGCCACTCTTTACAATTAAGTTGCTGTTTGGCTGGGTTCCAGCGTCGACCATCATCTGCATCGACCATCGTCAAGCTTCTGTTGGAGACGGAAGAGCCACGCGACGAGTGAAACCGCAAAGCTTCATTCCCACAGTCCCACGGCCGAGCATAATGTCTCTAGCTAGACTAGTAGAAACACCTTACCGTTCCAGCGTCGACACAGCGCTCCCCTTCGATCTTCAAGCTTGAAGATTGAAGACCTCTCTTGACTTCTGTACTATCGGTGCAGTACTCTGTAGTCGATACCTTGAGTAGCTGAGTAGTCAAGTACGAAGTACGACTACCGATAACTAGTGATACAGTAGCTGTACTTTGTTTGGCAAATAATGATATAGTAGACCCTTGATTCGGTCCAACTCGAAGACCTCATCAGTGTGCCCAAGTTAACTCTTGACTACAAAGCAGACATTCGCTAGGTTCAATCAGTCATTGTTGTTCTTAAGACTCATGTTTCAGGTGTAGACGGCTTTTAATAACCATTGAGCCACACGGCCACACTAGCTGGATTTCTGGCACAGATGCCTCAACCATTGACGCCAACTACAGTTCGGCAACTGTGCCCAGCAACAAAGCAGTTTCCAGCATCTTTGCGTGGGAAACAAAAGCTTCCTGGCTCCTGACTCCTGGCTTCCTGGGCTCTCCCACAAATCAATTGCCAAGGAAAGCTCACAAAAACAACACACAGCCATCACAAACCTGAAACAACATGAACTCTTCATCTTCTTGCAATCACCACGAAAGCATGACTTCTCTCTCCGCTTCGGTTCGATCCGAGCACCATCATGCTACAGATGCCAATGACAAGGCCAGCATGAAGCAAAAGCGATTCCATTCTCTTCGGAGGTCCAGTGCCAATGGCAGCATGGGCGGAAGCAGCCGAAGCCTCAGCAGCGATCAGTCCGAACGATCGTCTGCTTCCAACAACGGCAGTGTTGCCGCTGACGACAAGAAGGAAGGGGAACTCTTCAAGACCAAGTACCTTTGCCGTTCTACTACTCTCTAACTCTAACTAAGCAACAAACGTGGCGGCAAGCCTAAGGAAGAACCAGCGCAAGCAAAAGACCTTCCCCGGTTTGTTTGGCTTGATGAGACTGGGTTCAAAGCAGACTTCAAGCCTTTGGTTGGGTTCGTTCAGGGCTTCACAGATATCCTGGACTTGCTGGCTTGAATACATAATCTATAATCCATAATCAATGCATACCGGTACACAAATACTAGTATATAACAAACGTTTCGAGAAAGGCGACTACGGTATATTGATAGTTGCTTGTAGCTGCGGGTGTTACCAACACATGCAGCCGTTGCTTGTTCATCCTCTATCTGCGGCCAGCCTTGAAAATATGCATGAAGGTCGGCTACGATGTAGCTAGCTATTCATGGTTGGATTCGCTCGCTCACAGTCGTACAGTTTCGTGAAGAATGAGATCTAGCCAGCTAGGCATTTTCCAGGGAAGTGATGTTGAGGTCGAGAGGATTTCAGATACTGCTACGGTACATCCCCGCAAGAACCTTGGTACAACCAACAACTGTGGTTCAGGAATAAGCAGTCAGGCTGACTGATCCGTACGGTAGCATCGGATGCACTCGTTGAGCCTCGCTTGCTCTGAAAGAATCCAATCCGCTGGTTTCAATAACTAAGGATCAAAGGACAGGGAGGCAGAGGAGAGGAGATCGGGCGATCGGAGACCAGGGTGAAAGACATAGAATTTCCTCCTTTCGCCTCAGAAACACCCGGACGGTAAGCACCTCAGCTGGGTGATACCATTGATTCGTGGCTGGCGGGGAGCTTTCTCAAGGTACTAGCTAGACTAGCTAGCTAGCTAGTAGGGCCCTTGTTTGTGAATCATATTTGTATGTTTGTGTGTTGTCCCTTTATGTGTCACAGTTTTTAGCCTTAACCCTAATAAAGGTAGACTACCAAAAGAGAAACAGATGGCTGGCTGGAGCTAGTAGGTCTACAGCTGCAGCCAGCTAGCTAGCTAGCCGCAGCCAATCAAAATCAAACTTGTTGAGGGCTCATGCCTTCGGCATTCGGGAGCCTGAATCTTTGAAGCTGCCCACCCACTCCGATGGAGCAACTGAAGTGAATAGAGAGACATGAAGGCCCTTTCAATTCTCCTTGACAATGATCTCGTGGCTTCTTCAGCGCTAGCCACTGCCATTGCACTCCATACAGTGGAAGAGAGCTTTCAAGTATCTTCGTATCAGCAGAAGTTGGGACTCAAAATCACCAACACCTTCTCGGAAGTTCTACTCGATTCATTGCCCATCTTTGTGGTGCTGCCGATCGCAGCAGTCCTTTCCAAGAGCTTTCATTGGGTCCGAGATTCACTTGTGGTAGTGGCCGTTCTTCATCCCATCTTGGACCATGTCGTCTTGACATTGAAGGGGCGGAAACAACGACCAGGTTCCATCACTGCAATGGCTATGGTGCTGCCACTGGGGGCGGCAAATGTGCTTTTAGCCAAAAGCGATGGTCCACCATCCATGTTGGGTGGTGGAATAGGTATAATTATTTCTCTCTTCTTGTACATTGTGGCTGATGCGGACATTAAAGATATGATCCAGAGATCGGATGCCAAGAATCTTTGATCCGGCGTGAGATGCTCCTTTCAAAAGCCGGTTTCATCAGATTCGTTTCCTTTCAAATCTACCGTATGTTCTTGTGGGAAATTAAAAGGAGACAGGTGCCTTTCAAGTTGTAGCTAATAGGAGAAATGTAATGAGCTTTGTTTATTCCAAGGAGTTAGACCCAGGTAGCAAAATGAAGCAATTTTCTTGCTAAGCGAGGAACCTAACTAGCCCCGATGTTCTTAGAATTGCTGAGGATGGAGCTCTAGCTACAGCACCAAGGAAGGCAGAGATCGGTAAACCATGCAACACTTCTTTCTGCCCCGCCAGTAGATAGACACATAGACACACCCAAAATATTCCATTTCTGTGTGCAAACGTATTTGAAGCGGCCTCGCCTTGTTCCCAGAACAAGCAAAGAAAACATGGGTTGCACCCAACGAACGAACCAACAAGCACCAGACGAACGGTGCCAACCGTACAGTGGCCTATGCACTTCACAAAAACTGAAGGACCATCGCGGAGGACTCGACTCAATGCGACGACAGTAGACTTGTCTAGCTAGATCTACCGTATGTGTCTACTGGACCTATCACATGTCACATGGATTGGATTGGAGCTTGCTGGAAGTGGTTCTTCAGAAAGCCACGAACTGACTAATTCGCGCCTTGACGATTGACGAACACTCGTGATCTCGTGATCAGCATCCAAAGGAAAATAAGATATTTAATTTTCCTTTGCATTGCACCGGTACAGTACCACGACTTGATGTAATGCAAAGTGGACGAGAGCCCAACAGCTCTCAAAACAACAAAAGAAGAAACAAAACTGAACTAAACTAAACAAAACAAAACAGAAAGCAATCATGATTATGAGGAAAGGAATCTGGTTTGGCAAGCTATCCGATGGCACGGAAGCCTCAATCGGTGATATGGTGTCTCAAGAACTAACCGTGGTGCAGGCAGCCAGGGTGCGTCTTGTAGGACACCAGAGGCCCCTGGATCATAACGCGACGGTGGCAGTAGCCCAATACTTGCGCCAGCGATACCCTGAACTGAACCGGGAAGAGCAACCTTCGCAGTACACCGAAGCTGGCTTTACTCGAAGAACTCTACCCGAGGTAGATGCGGCGAATGCAGTTCGAGTGACCGTAGCCCCGCCATCCGTCGGCCCGGAGAAGTGCCAGGAGAAGGCCTTGGCGCTCATGAATGGGCACGTGCTTCGTCATCCCAGCTCCTTTTCTAGGTTGGGATGGTGCATCGACGTCCTCCACAGCCAAGATGGCAACGATTGTCTCCTCTGGGTTGTCTTGACAATGTCTCACAGCCACTCTGATGGTGTGGGAATGCAGGTGCTCGTGTCAGACTTTCTTGACGCCTACTTGTTGCTTTTGATTGGAGATGCCTTGCCGTCTCGGGAACGTCTTCCATTGTTTTCATCCCTACCTCGCGAGAGGACCTCTCTGTCCTGGGGAAAGCAGGTTGGATATGGCTTCCTTGGATGGATGAGTTCCAAACTCATGGCTTATGGCGGACCAGCACCGATGTTGTTGACCCCAGCAGCAAAGGAGCATGCAGCAAAGATCAAGGAAGATCGCCTTCGAGCAGGCAAACTTCAAAATGAAGGCCCAATGCATGTGGAATTTGTGGAATTGGATGCAGCCAGCACAAAGCAGCTATGTGCTCATGCACGCTCGGTTGGATTGACTGTGGGCTCCCTTGTCCATGGAGCTCTCTTTGTGGCACTGGCCAAGCGATACTTTCAGGAGCATCCCGAGGCGAAGAAGCTGGAACTGGAGATCCCGCTGTCTGTCAACATGCGAAAGTTCCTGAACCCACCGTTGCCCGGCACCGTGCTAGCACCGCAACAGGGCGAGTTGCAGATCAAGCTCCGGACAACGCGGCTTGAGGTCGATCAAGCACTCGCAAGTCACAAGGCCATGATTCCATTGATCCACAAGATTGCCTTGGACTCTCGAACCAAGGTCCAAGCAGATCTCGCCAAACCAGAAAAGCTCAAAGCCTTGGACTTTAATATCACGACGGCGTCCATCTTGCGCAATTCCAAAGCTGAGCAACTAGGAGCCATTCAGTACATTGGTGACGCCTGGCTTTCCAATGTGGGTCTCTTTCGTCCTTCGGAGCGAGTGCAACGGGCGGGTCGCTTGATTCAGGTGGAGACAACTCTGACCCTGAATCCAACCATCATGCCTGCGTATGAATTGGTATGGAGCAACACAGTTGCTGGCGGAAGCATGGCCCTCAGCATGGTCACTGACGAGACCATGGGCCGCAACAAAGCCAGTTCCCGAGCTCTGTTGCAAGACATGGCCAATCTTTTGCAAGTTCTTGTCCATTGAATAGCACCAGTATGATGTTATTGCAATGGGACAGCAGTTTAGTCAGATAGTAAGTTGATAACTACTATTTTCTAAAAAGAAGTGCATGTAGCAAATTCCCTTCGGAGATACTAGACTAGCTAGCAGCCGTTATTGAAAACCAGTGCTCCTGCTAGCTAGAGCTAGTAGCGGAGTTCCCTCTCTATTCCATTGCTTGGCGCCACGAGAGATGGCTAGATCAACAGGTCTTGCAGCTCTTGCAGTGCACCAACCTCTCTTTTAACATCTACTCCATTTTCCAACGAAACTGCAGACTTGGAAGTACCGGTAGATTCCAGAGTTCCAAAGAATATCCTTAGCGCGACTCTAAATATCCATTACTGGCACCTCACTAAATAGAGTTCGCAGCGATGAGGCGTGGATGCATGTTCCCACAGCCAACAAAAGATCTTCCTAAAAGGCAATTTCATTTCCGGCCAAAGCAAAAATACCAGCTTCATCAGAGTTCTCTGTCTCATCAGCCAAGAGTCCAAAAATATTCATCACATTCCTTTTCCTTTCTCTGTGAGCCAGTTATCTATCTTGAAGCTTTATTCAGTATGATTTTTCGAGTGTTTCAGCGCCATGGTGGACGTTTGGCGTCGTCATCCTTTCCATCCAAGCTGCTGATGCAACAGAAGAAAGCACCACCGAGCTACCAATTTTGTTTGCAGCAGTATAGCACCAGCCAATGGGCTGCCATGCCCTTGAAAGCGGTGGAAGTGCTTTCACTGGGAGATGCTTCTTCCTCCTCCTCTGCAGCAAAGAAATTCAAATTGTTGGAAACTCCCCTGTTGAAGGGTTCTTTTGTGGAACAAGGCGATATTGTGGGAATTGTGCAGCAAGACGAAAATAATGACAGCAGCAAGACCTTTGAAATTCCATCTCCTTCCACTGGACGATTGGTACAAGTGCACATGCAAGTAGGAGACGAAATCCAAGTGGGAGATACTCTGGTTACCATTGACACGGATGCCGTGGAAAATGCTGCCCAAAATGCCACCTCCCATAATGCTAGCAATGCTACTACTACTACCACAGAACCCGAAAATGCCCATGTGAAGGAACTGATTCTACATTTGCAAGAAACACGAGGAGAACTCTCTGATGCTCACGTCCAACAACTCTGCAAAACCATCACTGACATTGAATCGCTGAGGGCCATTGCGTCTCTCCTCACGGAACGTTTCCCCAATACACCACTCCAAATGAAGGCGCTGCCATTTTTGGAAACGGTACTCTTACGGCAACAGGGACAAAACTCAGATAATAGTCAGGAACTGCTGCTGGAGCAAGCCACCACACATACTGATTTGGGAATACTCCTCTATCGCTTGGGAGATTTGGAGGCGGCATTGACGCAACTGGAATGTGCCCTCCAGCAACGCAAAGAGGCACTGGGGGGTTCTCATCCCGAATTGTCCGCCACACTCATTCACATTGGCGCCATTAAAAATCAAAAGAACGATCTCGATGGTTGTTTTGATGCATTTTCCGAGGCCATGACCATTCAAAAGGAACATTTGGGTGACAGTCATCCCCTCGTGGCGGCATCGCTCAACAATCTCGGTGCCATTTGTTATCACAAGGGAGACTTTCCCAAGGCCATTCCGTATTATCAACAAGCATTGGACATTTACAGGAAACAGGAAAACGGGGAGCAAAGCTCCGACACGGCAGGATCCTACAACAATTTGGCCGTTGCCATGAAACATACCGGTGATGTTACGGCCGCCATTGACTATTGTCGCAAGGCATTGACGATTCGACAGACCACACTGGGTGTACGACACATTGACACTGCCACGTCGCACTATTGTCTGGGACAAATATTTTCCGAAACACGACAATACGAAGCGGCATTGGAACAGCTCGAGACGGCACTCGACATTCAAACGGAGCATTACGGAACCCCCCACCATCCTACTCCGGCAACGACACACAATCACATGGGCGCCATTCATTACGAACAGGGTGAGTTCCAAAAGGCACTCGATTCGTACCAACTGGCACTGGACGCCTTTTCCGCGGCACTCGGCAACGATGTCCCACAAGTGGCGGATTGTCACAACAATGTCGGCATGTCGCAAGCCAAACTGCAACAATTCGATGATGCTCTGGTCAGTCACGAGGCTGCCAAGCAAATTCTGGAAGCCAAATTTGGAGCCACTCATCCGACGTTGGCCATGACGTTGGCCAATATTGGATCGGTACTCAAATCCAAGGGTCATTACGACGATGCGCTGCAGCATTATCGACAATCGCATCCCATGCTCGAAGCGACATTGGGCGCCGATCACGACATGGTGGGATCGTCCTACAATAACATGGGACAAGTGTTGGCCATGCAAGGCAAATTGGACGATGCACTGACGGTGTACCGAGCTGCCTTGAACATCTTTCAAAAGACTCTGTCGGAGGATCACGTCTTTACGGGATCGATTCATTACAATATCGGACTGGTGCTGCAGCAACAATCCAATAAGAACGAAGAATCCAAAGAATCGTATCAACGAGCCTATGACATTTGGAGAGCAGCCTTGGGGCCAGAGCATGGCCAAACCATCATGGCAGAACAGGCCATGGATCAACTAGGTGTCGTCAGTGGGAAAGCAGCGACCTCGACAGAGCGGAGTGACTAATAAGAAATAAATAGAGAATGGTGGTTTGCATGAACTAGCTAGATAGCTATAGAATTTGTAGCAGGTGGTAATGACTATTCATGTATCGAACTACGGTATTGTCATCATTGCCCTCTGGGGGTCTACACGTACCGTCTCAAGAGGAAAGATACAACATGTACATGTATTTTATTTAAAAAAATAAAAGTACATTATTGCAGCATTGCAGGGGCTCATGTATTACTGTAGTCCAATAGGTCAAATAATTGTGAGAGTTGTTTTGGGTTCTGCTAGTGTTCTGCTCTTAGTTACTGGTCTAAGAAGACTATGGCTTTGGAACTTGGAACACCACGCTTTAATTAGACTAAGTAAGCCTGGATTCCTGGATCACTGGCTTCTGAAGCCAGTGTTCCATGGAGCACTGGCTTTCCTAAAACATTCAATAAGTACGTTACATTCCACGCTGTCTACTTTGACAGCTACTCGTACATGTACTGTAATCAGTATAGTACTCACACTGAGTACATACATGTACTCGAGTACGGGACGGTAATTAAGTAACGATAACAGCTCGATAACTGATAACTATGATATTGGAAGGCTCTGGAAGTGGACAAGTGGAACACTGGGACGATGCAAAATATGCAAATACACGTTGTACTTAAACTTGTATGATAATAGGTACAGATACTACGGATACTGTAGACTACTGTACATGTGTAACTGCATACTGTACTCAGTAGCTACCTAGTACTCAGTACGTCGTAGTACTCCCTCAAAAGTCATCGGGGATCACTGTCGTTAATTCCTGTAGGAACGCTAGCTTTGCCTTCTAATTTTGGGTCTTTTTCTTACAGACAAAGAACAACGGTCGATTTGCGCCATGCCCACACAAACGCTGCATGATCTTGCCATCTTGGTGCTACTAGCTAGTAGTAGACTAGCGACAGTTGTCTTCTTCCTTATCGACGACATGTCGATGCTGGGGTCCATGCACTTGGCATCAGCGCCATGGTCACTGTTAGCTCTTAGTTGACACCAAAGCCGTTAGCCTCGCACCTATTCTAGGTGTCAGGATTCATTTTTGAAACCAGCATCGTCATCGCCTCTCGTTTCATTTTAATTTTTGATGTTGACACCTTTTTCGATTTTGAGTTGGTCTTGCCAAACAGGTTCGCTGAAAATGAAACGTCGTTTGCTAAAACAATGTTGATGAAACGACGGTTGCCTCAAGGCAAGCTTTTTCTCTCTCAGCACAACACAACTCACTTCTTCTTCCAATGCATGACGATGACACCTTTTTCAGTGATGTTTTACCGTAGTAGTTCGGAGTTCGTTTGAACCTTGAGAAGCTGGCGGGGTCAGTTCTCCGGGGCTGTCCTCATTGGTCTCGCTGAACGTTGGTCCGCTGGGAAAGGTGTTGTCTTGCGGTGGTTCCAGCGGAGATGGAGCGTACTCGTGCAAGGTAACGGTCGGTTCTTCTGTCATTGTGGCGTTGCTTGTTTGCTTGTTTGTTTGGTTCACGGTCTTCGACCGATCGTTGCAGCCTCATCCTCTTTAGTTCCCAACGTAGGTCTTGCTTGACAATGGTGCCGCGGCGTTCGTGTTCCAGTCTCATCATCATCATCATCATCATCACAACAGGTACGGTCCACGAGTACGCATGCATGCATGGCATTAGTAGTTCTTTGCTCGAGAGAGTCAACATAAATGTCGTTGGAAGTGGGGGGTGGCAGACACTCTCAGAAGACTGTTGTTCCCCACTTCGCTGAACCAAAGTGGCATGCATGCATGCGGCAATTGGTGCTTTGCTCTTCATTTTGTTCTCAGCTCAAGTCTAACCGTTTGTTTCCACGCTTCCCTTTCTTCTTAGAGACAAACAACGACAAGTCGAGATCAGCCAGTCTCCCTGCTCTCATTTAACCAACCAACCAACCAAACCAACCAACCAACCAACCAACCAAACAACCTAAACCCAACCAACCTAAACCCAACCAAATCCAACCAACCATCAAGAACATGCTTACCGAACTGACGAGCCAACGAGTCAACAAGCCACACCCAAATGGACCTTGCAAAGTCGATGATCAGCCGTCTTCATGCTCAGTGCTTCGTTCGTCTTGGCTGGGTCTCGTGCAAGCTCTCCATCTCATCTGCTAGTGAACGCAAGCATGCATGTTAGTAAAGTCGGGTCGTCGGACGCCTCCTGAATGCACTCTGATCTTTGCACGGCTTCGTAAGTATGTAGTCCTAGCTAGTAATTAATCAAGTCTTCCGTCTTCTTAGGGCGGTTCCTTGCTCATCAACCCTGACAATCACATCCAACAATCACATCAACCCTCCAAATCAACCCTCAACTCAACCCAGCAATTATCCAACCAGCGGTCTTCTTCAATCTTGCCTACCTCATCGAAGGACGATCCTTTTGCGATGTTCGCCTCGTTCCAACCAGTCCTTAAACTCCATCTTCATCTTTTCGGTGTTGCTTCTTTTTGAGTTTCGACGAGATGTTCGGGACGAGAGGGTCAATCTTGCGTCTTGTCTGTGGACCTGGTTTGCTGTGTTTGGGTCGGTGGCCAAGATTGTTTGAAGTCTTCTGCCCCTCTGGTGATCTACACCTTCTTTAGGCTAGAGCTAGAATGATGAGGCCCCGTCGGACGTGGTTGCTTGAAACTTCGAAATGCTTGCACGGCTTGTTCCGAGAAAGAATCGTGTTGCAGTCGCTTCGAGTTTCGTCCATTGCCAGAAAGCCGAGACCAAGTCGCGACCATCCGGGTAGGGTTTGTGTCGCACGTCCAGATAGATCAATGTGCAAATTGTAGGACGAGGCAACCTCATCATTCAAGACGTTGGCTAGGTAGCACCAGGAAAGTGTTCCGCCAGAAACCCGTCGACGTAGCCGCTCTCATCGTTGGGATTGACGAATTTGAGCCTTCATTTTGGCTTGGTACGGTTTCCTTCCGTTACCAAAAGTCCGGTTCTGCGGCCGTAGTACTGAGAGCCGTCGAAGCATGTAGCTTGCTGGTTGAACTGCTAGTAGTAGTAAAGAAGGATTCACCGAATGCTCCTTGTTGTTGTGCCCCAAATTGCTGTCGTTGCTGATCGAATGGTGCTTCCCCAAATTCCGATTCATTATCGGTATCTTCCACATCCGTCCAGTCGTCTCCCGTGCGCTGACTGTGACTGGTGGACCCCATCATACCAAATGGATCGGATGCAAACGAGAATGGATCTTGAGCGGCGAATGACGATGATGGTTCCTCCTGCTCGTGGTTATGATTGATGGATCGTCGTTTGTTTTGCTGTTTCAGCTGGTATCGTTCCTCCTTGACCATGTCGAGATCCATTTGTAATTTGAGTATTTTTTCACTCTTTTGTGCCAATTCGGTCTTGAGACGGGCCATGTCAAAATCACCCGCCGTGGAAATGGATTGATACGACCCGGATTCGGCCGATTCCGTATCGGAATCTCCCTTGATACTAGAAGCTCGTTTGTTGCTATTGTTGGCAGTAGTATTATGGTTGTGAAGCGGCGATAGAAGTGAATTTCGTTGTTTTTGGAGTGCTCCCATTTTGGCTTCCTTTTCATCGAGTATTTCTTCCAAATCATTGTTGCGTTGGAGGAGTGAATTGTAGTCCATTTGCAATTGTTGCAATTTGGAGGGCAAATCTTCTTGTTCTTGTTGATCAGGTGTCAATGATTTTTGTTTTAGGAGAAGTGAGGCAGCGCCTTCGAGTCGTTTGGTTTGATGTTCGAGTTCGAGAATACGAGCATCTCGTTGCTTGAGATCTTTGCGGCGTTCCTTGGCTTTGGTACGAAGGGTACGGATGCACATTTCCTGACTCACCGTCACCTTCTTCATGGCCCGCATGGCTTGTCGGAATTTCTTTTCTTGTTCATTCAGCATCACCGGAGGAGCATTATTAGCGGTAGCAGTAGCATTGTCGCCGGATGTGAGCCGTTCCAGTTCCTTCTTGAGACGCGCATTTTCTTCGCGGGAAACCTTCAGGTCACTCTTCAGAATGCTAATCTTCTCGTCTTTCGACACTCGCTTGCTACGGCGGGGGCGGCTGCTCAGTTTGCTGCCCTTGGGCGTGTTGGGAGCAGATCGCACTCGCTGCGGCTGCTGCTGATGTGGGGCACTGCTGGACATCATCCTCTCTGGCTAGCTATGACTATAGTATAGCTGCTAATGGGATGGGATGGGTAGCTTCTCTTCAACCTTTGTCTTTCTTGCGAGTACTGATACCCCCAACTCAGCAACAACGATCTGTCATGCACAGATGTGGTCTTGGAATGCTTTCTCCTGTCCCCGGCAACTATAAGGTGCGATATCTGTTGGCTATTATCGTAAGCAGACACAAGGTACCATAGGTGGCACCTACAAAAGATGAGATGCTGCGTGAGAAATTTGTAAGCACAACCGTCGCCGGGTCATGACACCAGAGATGCTGGTGGATCAGATCCTTTTGGACGCAACTGTGGGAGTTAATAAAAAATAGCAGAGTTGGCAATACATCCTGTTGGCCAGACCGTGATACCATTGAACTCTGAAGGGCTTCAAGTCCCAAACGAAGACCATGGGTGCTCACAAGGTGTTACCGTACTCGGCCGAATGAATGTAGGTAGTTTTTGGGAAGGGAGAGACTGTACGGTACCGGTAGTGAGTTGATTGGTGGGCTCACTACTGGTACCTTGATTGATTCGATTCGTGACAGTGTCGATCTTGCTAAATGGACAAAGGGTCATACTACGCAGGGAGAATGTTTATTCCGGACCCGGAATGATGATAACCATTTGGCCAAAGGCGCTTCGTCGGCGAGCGATGAACGAAGTTCCAACCAGCTAGATTTTGTTGCATCCGAATTGGATGGTAGCATGGTATGTACGGTAGCACGGTGTCTGACAAACGTTGTACCTGAGAGGTGGACTGTGCTATGTCGCTCACTGTCTACTTCTTTCCGTGTTGGCAGGGTACTTCCTTCCAGCAATCTTGGCTGTTTGCTTGTTCAAACTCGATCGCAACTTGCTGCTCGTGCAACATCTCGATCGCTCGGTCACTCCATAGACGACATAATAATAAACCAAAGGAAGAACGATGTATTGGACCACGGATAGATAGCTACTAGCTATGTTCATGCCACTGGATAGCGAGCTATCACGGCACTTACCGACCGCGGCCCTGGATAGCCGCTGGCTCTTGTTGGATGCTGCTGTGGCCCATTGAGATTTCGTCCTGGGAACGGAGCTCCATCAGTCACAGTTGTATCGCAACGAAATCCAGCTATAGCAAGTTCACTTCTTAACGTTTCATATTTCGTTTGTACCCTCATTGATTAATGTGAATATATGCTTTAGCGTCTACGAAGAGTGTTTTGATCCACTGAATGGTTTCGTCCTGGGGGCTCATGGGACTGCTCCGCATCCGAGGCTGTCTTTTGGCTCACAACAGCTCGGAAGTTCCTCAAGGCTTCCACCTCGTCTATTTCCCCCCTCTCATCTTTCTGCAACAGCAGTAAACCACATTCTCTATCTATCAAGCTATCATCTACCTTTCTTCCTATCTTATCATCATGAATCCAATTCTCATCACCATCTTGGTTTCAGTTTGCATTCCGATGGTTATCCCCGTTTTCTTCGCACTGGCTGTTTTTGCACACCAAGAACTCAGGAACTGGGAGGAACCCAAAAACAAGTGCTGGGAGTCGTTGGTGACAGCGCCTTGGGTGGCGACAAACAGCCTGTCGTGTGGAGTTTTTGGGGTGATTGCTGTGGCGGCTTCTTTTGCTATTTCTTTCATGTTCCATGAAACATTCCTCGTCTGCTACAGTGGACTCCCCGACAATGCATACTCCACCATGCTGCTGTTTGTCATTACAATATATTATCCTTACTCTCTAGCTGTGCGAGCTCTTTTCGTTGGCAAAGCGTTCATCTGGCGCACAGTTGGCGCTGGGTGGGTTTCAGGGTTCTTCACAGCCATTGTGCAGTGGCACTGGAACAATGGACACTTTGCCAATCCTCCACAACTCCACGATCCTTGATATGCTACCCCGTACCGGTAAGTACACCAGATTCTACAATGACGCATAATGCTGGCTGGACAGATGATTCATATACGACACGAAGGAGAGAATACCACCTGGGAAAAGAAGGCGGAACAATGCACTGTGGAGTGAGGCAATTTGAACAAGTGAGAGGGTGGGGAACCGCGTACCGGTAGCCAAGTAAGCAAAGCCTTAGCAAAGTCAAAATAACCTTCCTCGCCGATGCTTCTAACAGAGAATGCAATCAATAGGACTGTTCATGTAGGCAAACCTGGAACCAAATAAATGACATCCCGTGCAGCAAGCTCTCCACGGCAATGTGCAGCGCACAGTTATGTTTGCTGGAAATTTCCTTGTAGTACGAGTTTTTTAACGGGTTGAGAGTAGAGTCGAGTGACGAGTCGGGTCGAGTCGATTCACGAGTGAAGTCTTGATCGACCTGAGCGCTCACCTCGGCAACGACATAGCACCCTAGCTAGTAGCTAGACTAACACTTTACTAGCAATGGAGCTACTCCAGTGGTAGACAAGGGCATCGTCGCAAAAGCTCAACCCAGAGACCAGTTACCATAATGAGTGATCTCTGGACTGGAGAGCTCAGGTTTTAGTCTTCCACCAGGAGTGACAGTCAATCCACTGACCTCCAGATTGAGCTTTTGCGACGATACCGCGCAAGACTAGCAATAGATGGAGGTACCATAGTCCAGTGGCATTCAAGGGTACGACTGTTTCGTCGCTTAGCTTAGTTTGTCGCATCCATGTCCCGACAATACTTCCGGTAGCCACTAATAGTACAGTACGGTACTAGTAGCCAGAAGTTTCATACCTCCTTCCCACTTCCCACCCCCCAGACAGACCCCAGAGACCTTCCCAAGGATCTGAATGAAGATCCGATTCGATTCTTCCCTCTTCATCATGATAAACCTTGTTGGAGGCCATTGATGTTTCAGTGAGAGGTTGAAAAAAGGAGTTAACATGCTGCACGTGCACCTTGGAAAGCCTTCTCAGACCTACGGCGTCACCTACCGTAGTTCCACTACTAGCTAGAGCTCTCCACTGGTTGAAGTTTGCGGAAACTCCCTAGCACTAGAATGCAATTGAGAGTTATTGGTAGATGACCTGAGAACCCCAAAAGACTTACTTGAGAAGTGGTACCAGGTACACTGTACTTGGACCCAAGATGAGCCTTGAAGAATCAACAAAGATTCACTTCTTCCAGAACAAAAGAGGGAAGAGGGAGGAGCATCTGACACGGCTTGGATCGAGCCGACTTGTCTCTCCTTCAGGCCTTCTTTCCCAACTCCATTGCTCTCATTTATTTTCCTTGCCTTCTACCAGCATCCCACTTTAGAACCTCCATGTCTTCCTCTCCAGCTTCCGCCCTCTCTGCTCCGCCGAGAGCAGATCCTAGAAAAGAGTTGATGAGCCTGAACTTGAGCAATGGTGATGCAACTGATTTCTACGTAGGAGATGAAGCAGAGATGTCCCACTCTGCAACTAATGCTGCCAGTACCAGAAGCCATGAAGATGAGATCAAAGAGCATTCCATGAATATTGAGAAGACAACCAAGCGTACCATGCTGATGGCAGCGTTGGTCGCCATCATGGGTGCCGCTGCTTCAACAAGTTTCATGTCATTAGCCATCACCAACGAGCGAAAAGAGAAGGAAGCCTTGTTCGTAAGAAGAGCCGCAGATCTGGCCAAAGGTATTGATGACAGTTGGCGTGATTATGAAATTGCAGCCCTCTGGATCCATGAATCTTGCCGTGATTGGAGGACGAGCAACTACACCAGAAATGATTTCCGGACGCTGTACGAATACCTCGAGAGTTCAGGGCTTGACTTTTTTCTTATGGAATGGGTGCCCAACATTTCCCATGCTGAACGACCTGCGATTGAAAATGCCATGAGAGATTTCTTTGAAGAGTATCCCCAAGGAGACAACTACAGAGGTGGATTCACTGGCAATGAACCCGTCCCTGGAGAAGAAGGAAAATTTGACCAGCTCGAGCGATCAGACCAGCCCTTTTACTTCCCCATTCACTTCACTGAACCCTGGCAAAACTCAGGTGATGGCACACATCTGGATCTCTGGAGTATCATTTATGAACAGCCAATCATTCAAAAGGCATTGGAGCGAGTGGTTCCTGTCCTCACTCCACGATTCTACCTGCTTGGTGAGGGTCCCGCAGATGGATACTCGGTTGTGCTTTACCATCCAGGCAAGCCACTCATAAGTGAACATGACACTCCTCCCACTGACCTCAGCAACATCATTATTAGGATCCCTGCACTTTTGACCAGAGCCGCCACTGCACATGGCGTTAGCATGGGCACCTACCTGTACGACTCCACTATCACCACCATTGATCCTGAGTTGCCTCCAGAATTCATGGGCGGAATCAACATTGAGGTCCACTCCTCTACCGTCACGAATGAAACCACGCAACTTGTGCAAGAACAAGACAACCGGACATTGTCCATGATTCCTGAAATTCCACTAGCAGATCTAGAAGTAAAGAGCAATTCCAAACTGTTCTATCAGCACAACTTTTTCGTGGGGCAACGCACCTGGACCGTTGTTGTGGTCCCTGTTGACACGTCCTATGAACCAGGGATCACGCTGGTCGTGGTCAGTGGTGCCATGATCTTTGTGGCTGCACTTTTGCTCTCCATTTGGATGATTCACAACATGAGACGGTCCATCAAAATGCATAGGATCTTGTCCGAGGCTGCTGCCGAAGCTGCCATTGTCTCCAACCTCTTCCCACCCAATGTTCGAGAACGAATGATTCAAGATGCAAAGAATCGCAACAATCAAGTGGGAGTGTCCAGGAAGGAAGATATTTTTCTAAAAGATGGAGATGGGCAACATCGATTGTCTGAAAAGAAACTCAGTAACTATCTGTCCAGCGAAGGGATTTTTGGAAGCAAACCAATCGCTGAGTTGCATCCATACACAACGATCCTCTTTGCGGATCTTGTGGGCTTCACTGTGAGTTGCTCTTTGAAGACTTTTCTTGCTTGTAGTCGCTGAAATTGATAAAAGGTCTGGTGCCTCAAACAACCTTCTGTGCTCACGATCTTTCAATCCAGGCTTGGTCCTCTGTCCGTGAGCCATATCAGGTACATTGAGTTTTCTGTGGATGTTCCGCTCGACCACAAAAATCTTGTCTTTCTAACTGTCACTGGTTCCGTCATGGCTGATCTTTCCACCTTCCAGGTATTCACCTTGCTGGAAATACTGGTAAGAGCAAGATCGAGGACGGACAGTACAGCTGCGATTTCTATTGCTTTGTCTCATGTTTAGCTGTCACGATGGCACAGTATCATTCCTATGATAACATTGCAGCACGCAGGAGGGTGTTCAAAGGTAAAGAAGGGCGTTCGCCATCACGGCTCCGACTGCAACTGTAATTGTGGAGCTTCCTCTAAACTCGTTTCACGTTTGTGGTCGTCGATGTTATAGTCGAAACTGTGGGTGACTGCTATGGTAAGTGCTGAAGGAACTCCTAGCTTGCTTGCTTACGTGTGAACTTGCAACTGATAGTGTCACGCTCTGTCGTCATGCAGTGGCTGTTTGCGGTCTTCCCGAAGGGCGGAAAGACCATGCCAGTACGTTCATATCTATAGAGTTGCCCGCATGGATGCAGCTTTGTCACACGAGCTTACGTTTTCATTTCGAAAAGTTGTCATGGCCAGGTTTGCGACGGATTGCATGTACCGCATGCACAAGCTCGTCAAGGCTCTAGAGACTACTTTGGGCCCAGACACAGGAGACTTGGGTCTTAGAGTTGGTAGGTGTTTCTCAGCTGCACACCTGTGGGTTCTGCAATGACATGCATCATCTAAACTGCATGCTCTTCTTTGACAGGGCTTCACTCGGGTCAAGTAACAGTAAGATCATGTCATGGACATTCTTGGTCACGGCAACTTGATTCTCGACTCACTTGCTTTTTATTCTTCCAACAAAGGCTGGAGTCCTAAGAGGAGACAAGGGTCGGTTCCAGTTGTTTGGTAAGCAAACCCTCAAGTTTGACCCCAATGCATGGACGATGTCTACATGTGTATCAGTGCGCTAAAGGTTTCCGTTTCTCCTGTTTTGTTCTTTTGAAGGTGACACAATGAACACAGCCAGCCGTATGGAGTCGACCGGACTTCGTAACAAGATCCAGGTATCCCAGGAGACTGCTGACCTCCTCACTGCTGCCGGAAGAGGAGACTGGCTGGTTCCGAGAAAAGATTTGATCACAGCAAAAGGAAAAGGAACGTTGCAAACCTACTTTCTCAAGATTCTCTCGAGATCGCAGGAGGAGGACTCTGAAGAGCTTGCAAAGCGGAAAGCGCAGGGGTCTGTGTTCCTTGTCCCTCAGGACGAGGGCAACCTAAGGGTCGGGGACGAAACTAGAATGCAACGCCTCGTTGAATGGAATGTTGAGGTGCTTAGCCAACTCATTAAGAGAATTGTGGCCCGCCGTGCAGCCACAGACGCAGAACGGAAGAACTACATTGCGGACTTTGGGTCTCATGGTGATGCACGGATGCCACTTGACGAAGTTGTCCCGATCATCAAACTCCCCAACCTGGACAGCCGTGCAGTCCAGAAGCAGGTTGATCCCGAATGCATTGAACTGGATAGCGATGTTGTGGGTCAGCTCAAAGATTTGGTGGCAAAGATTGCCTCCATGTACCACTCTAATCCGTTTCACAACTGTAAGTGACTGGTCATTGGTTCGAATGCACTGCCTCACCCCGCCCAGCCCGCTCATTTGCCATCTTTGCCTTCTTTTGCAATCACTAGTTGAGCACGCTTCGCACGTTTGCATGAGTGTCCAGAAGATGCTCTCTCGTATTATCAATCCAAAGGAAATCTATCTGAAGAAGCACCAAGGGGACTATGAAGACGAATCCCAATTGGCATCTGAGCTGCATGAGTAAGCAGCACATTTGCTTCTTTGAAATCCTGCTTTTCCAATGGAGCATCACTCACAGAAGGTTTTGTTTGCTTTGTCCCTCTAGCCATACATTTGGGATCACTTCAGATCCTCTAACTCAGTTTGCCTGTGCTTTCTCAGCCTTGATTCACGATTTAGATCATGGTGGAGTTCCCAACACAGTCCTGATGAAAGAAGGGAGCCCGCTTGTGCAGAAGTACCACCAAAAGAGCCTTGCTGAACAGGTACGTGTTGCAAATTATTCTGTCCGGTGGCCATTCTTCTTGTTATGTCTCCAACTCACCCTCTGTATATTGCATGCTCAGAATTCCATTGATTTGGCATGGGAGCTGCTTGCCGATCCTAGTTATGACAAGCTTCTCAAAACGATCTGCTGCGATGAGACAGATTTCAAAAGATTCCGGGAGTTGGTTGTCAATTGTACGTACCAAAACTTTCCCCTTGCATCTGCGTTGCAATGAACGAAATCGCTCACGTGTAGTACTTCCTAGCTGTCTGTGCAACCGATATTATGGACAAGGAGTTAGGTGCGGCACGAAAGGCTCGTTGGGAGCTGGCCTTCAGCGAAGAAGCAAAAGAGGAGCCCAAGGAGGCAACAGTCAACCGCAAGGCTACAATTGTGGTATGTATTACTGATCTTATTGCGTTCGTTCCAATCCAACAACCTTGTTGATTACTAATGATTGCCGCCAATCTTGCTTGCTTTTTCCCCGTGTCGTGTCAGATTGAGCACTTGATCCAAGCTTCAGATGGTAAGTTGCCAAGGCAGTCCCTCCGGTTGCCCTGCTACAATTCCACAATCATGGCATGGATCTGACCCGACCTGACCTGATCTGCCTGCCGCCTGGTTGTTTTCCAGTGTCCCACACAATGCAGCACTGGCACATCTATGCCAAATGGGTACGTACGGTTCAACTGCTTCATTCTTCTTGGCTCCTCTTGCTGAAAGCCATGGATACGTGTGCGCTCACTGCAATTCATTGTTTGAAACTACCAGAATGAGCGGCTGTTTCTTGAGCTCTACAAAGCCTACAAGGCTGGCCGATTGGACAAAGACCCAAGCATCGGCTGGGTTGAGGGCGAGATGGGTACGTTCCTCAAGTGCAAGTCTGTGTTCATACTGCTGCGATGTCTGTGCATGCTCATGCCTGCATTTCTGGTTGGATATCCCGTGCGTCACAGGTTTTTTTGATTTCTATATCATTCCGCTGGCCAAGAAGCTGTTCAAATGTGGTGTCTTTGGTGTTAGCAGTGATGAGTTCTTGAACTATGCTAGCATCAATCGCAAAGAGTGGGAAAAGAAGGGCCCTCAAATGGTCCAAAAGTACCTGAAGGACTATGAGGCAGATTATGGAGTGACACCTGAACGACGGCTCTCCTATGACAGTGGTGGTCCCACGGAAGATGCATGGGATGAGAATTCAACGACAGCAAGCGACAACGAGTAGTACCGTAGCCAACAGCAACCAATCTTAGGTGGTCACTAGCTAGTAGGTACACGGCTGTATCGAGGAGTGAACGTTAGCTATCCGCCAAGCAAGTCATCAGTCGAAGGCGTGCTACCGTATGCGGAACTATTGGGAGCTGCCGTGGCCGTCCTTCCGATGTGGTGAAGGCTGGCGACATATTTTACATACTATGATAGATATGATAATGATGCATGCGTAGTAATCAATGTTATGATGACTCGGACAACGTTGTTACCAATCTGAACAGAGGGACCAAGCGATGTCTGTATCGTTCTCCTTATCAAGATATACTTTTGTCGAAAGCAAGTGACTCGAATCTTGCACATGACGTGCTTAGATTAGTGATATGAGTGGGGCCCATGGACAATCCATGGAACACATGCAACCAGGAAGAGCCGACGACGAGGCACTGTTCGCTGCAACAATGCTGTGACGTCCACAAAATGTGAACTTGAAGAAGAAGCAACTTGTAGGACTCGATCGATTCTTTGTACGGGAAGCGTCTGATCGAGCGTCGTACCGATCAACAGAAAAACGCACCAAGTCGTTACTGAGAGGTACAGTCGAACCTGGTACATGTACCGTAGTTGACCAATCCACCTCTTTCCCGAAAAAAGATTCAAGTTGTCTCCAACGGCTTCTCCAATCGACCTATGATAGTGTATCCGAAAGGGACGGTTCGACCGTCCACGAGCCCAAGCTTTGAAATCCACGCCGTGGAAAGTCGACGACAGCTGTCAAAGTTGAAGAAAGAGGCAGGTGCCCGGCAGTCACTCTTCGCATCGTCACGTGACGGAAGGAGAGGAACAAGAATCTGTGATTGGCGACCAATGAGAACCACAACGATGACGCAACTGCACTCCGTCGATCTCTTCCTCGAAAGACCTTTCCCACAACAGCTCCCACAACCACCCTTTCATCATCCGAACTCCATTATTATTTCAGTTAGGTGGAGTTGGTTTGTTTCTCCCATTGCCATTGTCAGCTCAGAACGTACCACCCTTATTAGCTTCTCTGTCTCTCTGCCTGTGGAACCTAGCTAGCTAGTCTAGATAGCAAGTCTTGAAGGAGTGGCTGAGTTTGACCTTATAAAAGAGAAAAGGAAAAAGAGAAGTCAACTTTTTTCGCTCCAATAGTGAGAATGCATCCTGCAGCACGTTCCGTTTCCAGAAGAGGCTTGATGTTGTTACTGCCTCAGCAAAGCAACCGAATGGCTGTGCTGGTGGTGAGCCGAAGCTTTTCCCGTCGCATCACTGCCTCTCATCGCCCGACCAATATGCGGAATATTTCCACACGCAAGACAACCACATCATCATCCAACAACAGCAAACAACATCAGCCGTTGCATTCGTCAGCCACAACACAACAAAGTACACTGTCAATAGAACAAGCTGCCGCCAAGAAACAACAACAAGCCTTAGCCGAATCAACTCCAACAGCTCCCACAATGGATCAATTAAAGGTGCTCTTTACCGCCTCTGCCATTCCCATGATTGGTTTTGGTGTCATGGACAATCTCGTCATGATCCAAGCCGGACAGTTTATTGACAGTACCCTCGGTGTCACGATGGGTCTCGCTACCATGAGTGCCGCGGCGGCGGGACAAGTGGTATCCGATGTCAGCGGGGTCATTTTTGGAGGGTCCCTGGAACGATTTTTGCACCGGTACAAATTGATTCAACCGTCCAATTTGACCGTCGCACAACGATCTCTTCCCATTTGTCGGAATGTGGCATTGTTAGGAGCTGTGATTGGTGTGGCATTTGGATGTGCTCTGGGAGCATCGTGTCTGTTATTTATGGATTTGGCCGCCCGAGAACGCGCCGAACGAGCCATTCAGTTGCAGGGCGTCTTGAATGACATGATGATGGCAGCGGGAGATTTGCAGTGCGAGTCTTGTATTATTCACTTGGCCAATATGCCCGCCATTGAAAAGCAATTCTCCACCACCCAACAAGAGACGGGCAAGACACGTATCAAAGTGCTGACCAGCACGCAACAAACACAAACAGAAACACCCAGTCTGGCACAGCGAGCTGCCGAGACGGGATCATCCCTGACCAATGACGATAATTCCATTTTGTGTACACCCATCATGACGTATTCTGAGAATGACAATGAGAATGAGAATAATAATACTGAGAAACAAGAAAATGTTGTGGCGGTTTTGGAATTTCATACCAAGGCAGATGCCATTCACGGATTCACAGAGGCAGACAAAAAGGCGGCCAAAGTCATGGCACGGCATATTGCAATTTTCATGAATCGGTTGAGTGATTGATTTGAGTTGAGTTGAGTGATTCGATTCGAATCGAATCGAATCGACAAAAGTTTGGCTTGGCTGTCTATCCAACAACAAAAGTGGCTAATAAGTGCTGAAAAAAGAAGAAGAAAAAACAGCAACAGCCATTCTTATCTTGGCCGGTCAGCAGCAAAAATAATGTCGTGCCAAGTCCTTTTGGTGTGCATGTGTGTTTTTTTTTGTGTGTGGGGTGGATTGCATGACATTGACATGGCATGGCATGGACGCAACAATTTATTGATTTTAGATTTTTCATTCTTTTCTAGACATTTTGATCTGCTTATAGTCTAGTTGCCCATTTCAGCCAAGTCCGTGGCTAAAACAATTAATTTTCCAACAACACCAGAGCAGTCTCACTTTGCGACTTGACTTGCTCCCAAGCAAAATAAGATGGCACCGGTAGTCTAGGGAACGGGAGCTTAGTGGGAACTCAATTAGCTCAGCTCAACAAGGCGTTTAAAAAAGACTTGCTCCCTTTTCCCTTCAGCCTCGAGTAAATGACCGTGCTGGCCTCGGACTATTGAGCGTCCCTGGCTGTTGTGACTCGACTCGACTCGACTCTCCTACAAATAAGTGCACGTGAGTCAATTTGGAAAGAAAGGCTGAAGGGAAACAAGCAAAAGCACTCGTTGTCACGATGCGGGTGACCCCGTCTATTTCGTACATGTTTCGCATATTCCGGTTCTTTGTCTTCCTTCTGTGAGTTAGGAATCTGGCTGGATTGGTCTGCTGTCCACGATCAACCAACACAATGTCCCGCTACTTTCCTGGAATCTATGATCATGCTCGCAAAAACCAGGCGGAACGAAGCTACTGGACACCGATTATCCGGCGGTGACTATCCTCGTGGAGTTGGGAGTGGCTCTGAAATGTAAGTACAGTACTGCAAAGCTTGCACGAAGATGCTGGTGAAGCGTATATAACCAAGACAACCTCACAAGAAGCATTGTGTGCCCAGTGTGGGCGTTCCATAATGACAAGCCAGACAACACTTTTGGCCTCAATTCCCGACATCTTTTGGAGTAGAGATAAGCCTGAGGTTGGGGTAAGGATGTGCATGCTCTAGATAAGATGACCGGCAAGGCGGTCTTGGACGAGACGTACGGAGAGGTTTTGTTGGACGGCACGACGTCGGAGGAGGGCTCTGCGTTGTTTCAGGCCGCGATTGATGCCACCAAACGGGTGTTGGATCCAGAGGCGGATGCTTTTTACGCAGAGGAACTGTTAGATGATTGATATTCATCATTCGTGGCCTTCGTAGTGCAAACCCAAGACAGCTCGAAACTTTGGGCTAGACTTAGAATATTGATCTAAACTCAAGACGAGATCTGTCTCAAGATTTCTAGTAAGCAAATTTGAACTGTTGCTTCGTGGTGATGCACCCATACAGGAGTGTAGAAATGGCAGGTCAAAGATTTTCGATGTACATCTAGCTCAAAGAACATGGATCGAGCTAGCTCAAGAATACTGAGCTTATTATTAATAGCGATGAACTGTCACCCTTAGCAAATGAACGAGCTTGGCTGCAATTGTTCGCACGCTCTCGCCAGCAGCACTTCTATTCCTTCATTGGCTGGTGAGCCCAAGCACTAGATTTCACACAAGGGATGGCCCCAGCACTGCAATGCCTAGAACGGACAGCCCCAGAAATGGTATCCCTCTCGCTAGCTAGGAGCAATGGCCGCCCAAACACAGGAAGCCAATGCTCGAGCATGTCTCCGAAGATGATGCGGCATGGAGTGTTCCGGCGGCAACGGCTCGGCCCCGATCGCCGTGTGGAGGTGCGTACGCGTACGTCAGTTTTCTTCTAAAAAATGAGGGTTGGCGGGATACCCTTCAACAACACCAACGGCCAACAACCCGATCAAACCCCAAGGATTCTCTCCCACCTTCACTTTCCTCCCCTCTCAATCTTCTTGCACCGACAAACAATATGGTTCTTCGACGACACGAGAGAATACCACCCAACATAGTGGCAATTGCATGGATCTCCTTATGTTTGTTGCTGCTGAACACAAAAGCTGCTTTGGGGATCTCAAGACCGTTTGGCCTCCAAACGAAAAACCACCTAAAGATTCCATCTGCCATCCGACTAAACCTACCACTGGATTTGACAAGTGGTTCCAGTTCTATTGCACAATTCAGAGGTGGAGCTGCATGGAGTGACGACGATGATGAGGAAGAAGAAGAAGAAGACGAAAGTGAAACTGAAGATGAGGAGGAAGAGGAAGATGAGGAAGATTCAGGAGTTTCCAATTCAACCAACGGTAACTCTAACTCCCCCGCCAACCTGATAATCAGCACCTTGAAATCGGTTTCCAAGGCTTTAATGCGTGGAGTGACGGCAGCAATCCAGAGTTTAGAATCCGACAGTGACAAAGATGAAGATGCATCGATAGTAGGGAGAGTGGTTCAAATGGTCCAAAGTTTCTGGAGTGCAGCATTGAATAGTGGCTCGAACAAGAAAAGTGACAATCCTCCTTCTCCCTCCAAACCACCAAAATCAACTCCCAAAGAAACCGTCCGCACAACTACTGAGCCGGCTGCTACTAGTAGTACTACTACACCCACTTCTGATTTTGGTACCTACTTGGCACAAACCTATGGGGTAGCCGACGGTCGCACAGGAGATGACAATCCCGTGTTGGGTGGCAGTCTCAATGATGCCCTCAAAGTTGCTAGGGCCAATGCCAGACTCTTGCTGGTGCTGATACCCAACAAGGGAAAAAATGACAAGAAAGCCGTTGAAGGATTCTTGAGCTCACAAGTTGCCACCATGGCCAAGAAAAAGGCACGCAAAAAGGGAGAAACCGGATCCTTCCTTCTCTGGGGTGCCAAAGCGGGGTCCTCCGAGGCCACACAGGCCATGAAACGATTCAAGGTCAAACCCAAGAATTCCAAGGGAGAAAAAATACCCATTCTCTTGGTGGCATATCCTGCTCAGGTAAGCAAGGTCATGTCGAATATTCCTCACTTTGTCGCAATCAACACCACAGGCAACGTCTCATCAATTCATGTTATTTCCTCCTGCTTTTGTTGCAAATGATAGGGTTTCTCCAAGGGTGTTCTCAAAATTGCACCCAAGGTACTCGCACAACATCACTGTTCTCCTCCACCCTCGGCAGATACCATGATGGAATGGTTGAACGATCTTCGAAAGCGACATGCCAAACAATACGACAAAATGCAATTGGATCGACGAGAGGCACAGCTCTACCAAGAACGAAAAGCGGGATACCAGGAAAGTGTCAAGAGTGATGTAGACCGAAAAATTCGGGAAAAGAAAGAAGAGGAAGAACGGATTGCCAAGGAAAAGGCCGAAAAGGAGCGTTTGGCAGCATTGGAACAACGTCGAAAGGAGCTGCTCGAATCGTTGCCAGAGGAACCAAAAGCGGGCAATAAGGATGCCATGACACTTTCAATTCGCCTTGCCGATGGTCGTTCCGGGAAACGTCGTTTTGCAAAAGAGACGGAATTGAGCATTGTCTTTAACTGGGTGGATGCCTCGTTTCAGATGGAACGTGAAACAGTCGTATTGACGACCATGAATGGGAAGCAAACGTTTAATTGGGAAGATACTACGGACGAAAAGACATTGGCAGATGCTGGACTTGGTCGCATGGTAGGCTTTCGAGTATCCGAAAACAAACCAGGCGATGAAAAAAGTGGCGACGAAAAGGAGGAGACAGCCAAGGAAGAAGCCTAAGTGCTGCTGTATCAGAAGAATGTGCCTTTGACTTTCTACCGGTACGGTACTGTGTAAATAAATGTGGGTGGTCCATTGCGTGTGGTCAAAACAAGTCTCGTTATCACTACTCTCGTTATTACTATTATTCCTGTTACAATATCTGCGCTCCCACTTTGGCTACACCTTCTGCTTTCATGAATTCTTCTCGTAGACTGTAGATGTATTGCATAACTTGTATTTCCTCTGGTGTCATGGCAATGGTATTGAAAAAGTCGACATGCAGTACGACCCGTTCCTGTTGGGCATGTTCATTGAAGGTTTCGTGTTCGTAGGTGGTATCATAGAGCAGACATTCCCCCGTGGCCCATCGTCGTGTTTCGGGACCTACTCGAATGTACGCCGCTTGATCTGTTTCAATTGTTTTGTCGACGTTTCAAAAAGATGGTAAGTGAGACACAAACAAACACAAATACACAGTTTGTTGTCCTTCATCTGACTAAAGTTGTTTGTCTTCGTCTTGACTTTTTCATTCATGTCTTACCATCTGGTACTTGGATGCCCATTTGACAAGTCAACCACATATTGTTGCCATCGGTATGCATGGGAATTCCCGTTTGTGGTTGTTGTCGATTAAATCCGGCAATGCGTCCTGCCAATGGCACCGACTCTAAAAGTTGTGTGGTGACGGGGCACAAATGATAGGGGAATCCTTCAATTCTGTGTCCATTGTAGAACAATACGAGTGTTTTCCATCCACTATCGTAATTCATGCTGGTGACGGATTGGAATCGATCTTGTTTGGATCCGTGTTCCATATCGTCCATGAGTGCGTGATATTCCTGAAGAATCGTGTCGTAATTGTCACTGAGTTCTTGACAGAGAGGCACGGTGGAGGGATCATGAAACGGTTTTGTGGATCCCAACCCGGGCATGTAGGCGTGAATTTCGTCTTGTGGTCGATGCGGATTTTGGATAATTTCGTCTTCCAACGGTAAATTTCTGTCCAGAGCATGTCGGACGACTCCAGCAACTCGTTCCAACTGAGCATCGTGTAGATTGGGAAACCTGGAATGGATCAATGAGGGCATGAGTTCCCAAAAGGGATCATCATGAGGTGCTGTTTCGGCCACGGCTCTTCCCAAGCATGTATTGGCCGACTGCTGGGCTAGCTGGGCGATCAAATCTTCTTGTTCCGACTTGACATAGGTGGTACCAGTACCACCAGTACCACCACCCGTCTTGGGCTTTTTCTTTTTGGACTTTTTCTTGCTGCCAGGGGTTTTCTTCTTGCTGTTGCTCGCACCAAAGCCAGCACCCGCAAATAATATAGCAGACTGTGGATGATGGCGAGAGGTACCGGTACATGAAATAGCGGGAAGGAATGCTGTGACGGCCGTGGGAAGACCAGAACACCCCAGCAGCACAAAGAGTGCCAACAGAGCACCGGCAAACAATCTGCAACTCATTATTGTCTTTTAAAAACGTTAAGCTTGGTTGGGTTCAATTGCAATGGAATGCATTGGATTGACTATACTTGATTTGACCAGAGGCACCACCATGGGCAACCAGGAACTGGATACTGCACCCCGTTTTGTGGCTCTCGGGTTGACCCACTGACGTCACACGGCACGGTTGGCATCAAATCGTGATGGGGTTTTTCGAGCAGGGTAGTAGGGAAGGTCGTGGCTTTAGACGGAGGCCTGCAAGGGCCAGGCCAAGGCAACGTGCATATGGGCTTCCCAAATGCACAGCAACCATCCCCAAGTACGGTAGGTTAACATGTGCCCTTCATGACCATTGTCAGTGATGATAGGGCAAACACAATCTCACAAGCAACGAAAGCAGCATGCTTTGTCTATGTAATGACTAATATTTAACTTTAGCAGTTCCACGGGTCCCTCTCATTTGCTTTAGTGCCGGTGACTTGCTTGCTTGTTCGCTTGCTTGTTCGTTGCTGGAAGAATGAGGGATGGTAACTTGCTTGTTCGGTGCTGGAAGAATGATGGATGATCTCATGGAAGAAGGATGATCTCAGCATGGAAGAAGGAAGAAATCATGAAAGAAAGAAAGAAGGACGGAAGGAATGCAGGAAGGCAGAAATCAAGCTACACTGAAAGACCAGACGCATCCATGTTCGCCACTTCGTCAGCGAAAACATGAGCAAGTCCCATCTCTTCCTTGGTACTCTCGGCATACTTTTTCAAATATCCTGCCACAACATCCTCCCCTTTGCGAACCCATTCGTCTCGGTTGGCCTGGGCGTAGTTCAAGTATTCATGGCTGGAAACCCCAAAGACACCACAGTTCTCCAACTTCTTGGCCAAGGGAATGATATAGAAGTCAAAAAATCCAATCTCCCCCTTGTACCATGCAATGGATGGATCCTGACCCGCGCGCCCTTCTTTGTAGGCTCTGTACAGTTCAAAGAAGAACCGCTCGTTCCACTGGAGATAGATCTTCCAATGTTGCATCTGCAAATGATGATCAACAAAACGTCGTCCAGTGAGTCTCAACAGTTTCGCTCGTGGAAAAGTGTGGCCTATGCTGTAAGGCAAACTTACCGTGTGAGACACATCGGAGGCTTGAATAAGATGCTCAATCTGAAAACAAGAAAGAAGAAGCAGGTCGTGTAAGGAAAGGGTTGGCACTGCACTGATCTGGTCTATCCTTTCGTAAGAAAACTTACCACAATGGTGGCCTTTCTATCGACCTCAAGGTCCCGGTTGCTGCCGTCGTCCAGGGCATTCTCGGAGAAGGCCTCGTTCCAACGATTCTTTCTCAATGCTTGGAGTTCTTTGTCCACAATATCGGTCGCTGTGATTTCCAACAAACATGTATTGCCGTGAGTCTCCTAATGCAATATGAAAGCAAGAAACCAGGAAACTGTTGTTCGCCAACGTACCCATGACCGTGTTGACCGCAAGCTGCCTGAATCTCTGCAGTTCCTCAGGGTTGCCGTAGATAGCCTTGCGCAAGTCTTTGTACTCGGGCTTCATCAACAAATCCCAGCATAAATCGACCGAATTCTGTATGGCACAGGGCATTCAAGGAAAGAGTGGTCAGGACTTCATAATCCAGAGGAAGACAAGCCAAGTCGATTCTGTTGCGGTCTGGCTACATACCTGTTCAGCCACACTCTTTTCTTTGTACATTGATGCCAGGGGGTTCCCCTCCTTGATCATTTGTGTGTTGGGGATGCCAGGGTGGTCAGCTGTTGGCACAACAAAAGTCAAGAAATATTAGGTGAGCATCCGCATCCGGGAGGTCAGATTCTGAGAGCGCAAACTGCAAAAGACAGCTTACCATCATGGATTACAGCGGAGAAGACAACCGCGAACTGAGTTAGAGGATCAGCGGTTATCCCAAAAGAATGCCCAGCATCTACTCCAAGGCCTTCACCGCCAGAGTTGCTCGCAACGATCCTAGTGAGGAGTTTTCGCACAGACGCCACGACATGGCTTGCATGCTCGAAGTCTTGAGCCGGAAGGCAGATGACAAGTGAGTTCACAGGCTCCAGCTAATGAAACTGACGACATCGAAAGACTTCACTTACTGTGAAAGCTGTTGCTGCGATACATCCCCGCTACCTTGGTGATATAGTCACGCAGTTGGTCAACAACCACAGGGGCAATGTCAACCTCTTTCAGACCTTTTCGCTTTGCCATTTCCTCACGCGAATACTTGGGCAAAGTGACAATTGCTTGGAATTCTTCCAATACTGTCTGGCCCTGGCCAATCGTCTTCTCCAACTTTGCAGCAGACACTGGTGCTGCAGTTCGGCAGGCCAGAATTTGCCGAAGCAACTGACAGAGTACATCCGTGTTCCATTCCACAAGCCGCTCCATCTTGGTCATGGAGTCCCCAGATGCTTCCTGCTCTTCCATCTCCCTGAGGCTGGCGTCGGCCTCTGAAGCTTCGTCAATGGCCATCATGGCCTCGCCTGCTGGCTTCTTGATGCTTTCTCTATTCTGATACCTGCTCACCAGCAACCAGAAGGTCTGTGTATCGCTTTGCTGTTAGAGGAGACCTGATGGCACGAGTATACATTGATTGCAGCAAACCTTACCTGCATGTCACCTTTGCCAGCAAGAGGGATTTTTTCTGCCCTGGGAACCAACCATTTCCCCTTGCCAGCCTTCTTGAGGAGCTCAGCTGTGAAGTCGGAAATATGAATTTTGCCTGGGACGCTGGAGGTCTCGATTCTCGAGGCTGTATTGACCGTCTGTGCGACACATTGAGAGAGGTACCGTACCGGTAAAGTATGAGTAACCAGAATCCAATGCTCCGCTGTAGACAGAACATCAAGTAATTACTCACATCTCCAAAGATTTGATAGCGCGCCTTATCGCCTCTGCAAACGTGAAATAGCCAACAATTAATAATAAATATATTAATATTCAGCACCTGTTCATTCCCCAAGCCGAGCCATTCTTAGATCAAAGCCAAAAGGACGCACCTCAAAACTCCTGCAGTACATTGACCACTTCGAATGAAGAACAAAACAACCATATCAGTACGATTGGCACTGGAAACTAAACAAAGCAGAATTCCGTTGCACCAGAACTGACTTACCTGTGCAGTCCTACTCTCAATGCTGTGTGATCGAGTCAACGAGAGGCACATGTGTGAGCCTTAGGGTTGCCTCACCACCAAAAAAGTCAAGCATCTGTCAAGTCAAGACTTACCGAGATCTCCAGTATCTGGACCAAGCGTGACCTCAAGCTTTTGCGTAACCGTCTTCATCTTCATCATGCAGGCTCTCGCAAACTTTGCCATGATGACAGGGTGATCATTTCTTGGGTCAGGGACACCAGCGGCAGCTACGATGACAGAATTCATTTGTTAGGGAGTGGTGTTGCAATGAGGTCAACCTCAGGTAGAATTTCACTTCAATCACTTTGACCTACCAACATAGCAATCCCCCTGGTAGTTAAAGGGAAGAGCATCAACCGTAATCAGACAGCGACCAAGTAAGAAGGAGGAACGGGACAGAGAATGGAATGCAGCGACTTTCAGGTGACTCCTTGACTCACCACTGTTTCAACTACAATGTCAAAGGGAAACACAATGATTCACATTGAGTGTCAAGTGGAAAGATTCCAAGATGGCAGCCTGACAGGACCGACGTACCCTTGAAAACACCATATCTATTCGCAAGCTTATCAAATGCCGAGTAGATCTGTTGACGTGGAAAATGGAAGACATGAGTTACCATGTAGGGTCACCAGGGTGAAGCATGCTTTGTCCTAGAACTCCTTACAGTCTCCAGAAGCATAAACACGAGAATTGGGTCCTTGGCACTCGACCATGCCTGATGGATTGTGAATAGGAGTTGGGTTGCCATGCAATGGTTAGAGCACACATTCAAGCAATCATAGTTCCCAATGTACACCCCGTCATTTTACTTACAGTAAATCCCGCAATGTCCGCAAACATGACAGTCGTATTCAGGAAAAGGTCAGCCAAGGGCGCACTCTTGAAGGTCTCGGGGTTCTCCAAGTCTTCATTGAACAACTCCACATGACGCTTGGACACCAAGGAGCGAGCATCGTCATCGTTCGAGCCTGAGTTATCTTGGTACATGCGGGCCCGGATCTGCGACGGAAAGAGGCTGGAAACAATTTGGTCTTCCCGAATCAAACGCTTCATGACCATGACTTGGCGTCTGCGGACCATTTGGTCGTAGAAAATAAATATGAGACTGGTAATAGCAAAGATCAGAACGACTGGACGGACACAAACAAACAGAGTGAGGTTAATGGGAGTACCAGTATGTATGTTGGTTGGGTGCACCTCTTGGCAAGCACTTACCGGCTCCAGCATACAACAAGGGAGTGTAGGTGACAAAGGTGCTTTCCAAGTTTGATGAAGGGTAGATCTTCAAGACAAGATCGTGGACACAGACACCGTCTGGCAGTGTTTTGTTCCTGTCATAGACCGGCGTGAAGAGTTCTCCTGTAACTACCATGTCATCATAGGCTGGATCATGCAGATCTTCCAATCCTAAAAGTTCGGCTTCCAATCCATTGAGGGCATAGGTGGAAACAAAGCCACAGCTGCTCTCGACCACCAGAAAGAGGGTTGCAGGGACATTGACCAAGTTTTGAAAGTAGGCACCCCAATCACCATAGGACCAAATGGCTCCGACCAGCTTGCCATGTGTAACTTGATCCCAAATGGGTTGCACGACTTGACTGCGAATACCAAGGCCGGCAAAGAATGCAATTGAGGCAATTCCGGTAGCATTGCTCGTTTCAAAGCCGTCCCGAATAGATTTATTGCCCAAGACGGAGACCAAAGCTAAGGCATCAGTTCGTGTGGGGCTGACGGGGGATTTTTGCCAGTGTGGAAGGGAGTTTCCTATCGTTTCGTTGTTTCCCACCGGAGCGAGCGGGGTACCTCTACCCTGGCGAACCATCATTTCATCGTAGATGGTGAGATTGTCAGCTCCCCAGGTCTCATTGGTGTGTCCATAAAACTCCAAGTCTTCTTGGATGAGGTCCCGGACCCGTTCTCTGGCATAGGCTTCCCAACCTAGCTTGTCTTCCGGGCTAACTAGAGTGAGCAAGGTGACCGAACTGAGCCCCGTCAACTTCATGAGCATACTAGCTTTCAAGGGATAGTCATCAATGGTCACGTTGGGCCAGACTGAGTTGGTGGTTCTGGCAGTGGATGCCACAGTGACGGCGAACTGCTCAATGGTCTCAAAGGTTGTGGTAACGTGCTCAGCCGAGATGGCAATCACTTCGGATGCCCAACTCTCGAACTGGAGGAGACGACGGCGCAAGAGAGGAACACAACCAAAGAACGGTGAACACGTGGATGAACAATGAACAGGAGCTGAACGACATGGGTCATTCACGGGACATTTTCCAACCTACCTTATCTCCAAACTCTTGCTGCTCCTGACTGCTAACCAATTGGTAGACTCCCGCTGCCATTCCTGCCACAGCCACCAACAAGACCAAGACCACAGCTATCTTGGAGTACAAGACCATCTTTTCTTCCTTTGCGGCAACCACAGGAGCTTCGTAGTTGGCGCGTTCCTCATCCATATCATCCGCACTTTCGCCGTTGTTACTCCCACCCCCCCACGCAGAAAACGTACCGGTGGACAGGGTATCCGAGAAAAACTCCTTATCGCTGCTGCCAGTAGAGCTTCTGTGCTGGCTGCCGCCTCCCATCTTGTTGAGCCTGATACTCATGGTGATGATAAAAACACAAGTGCTGTTTTACTAGTAGTTAGTTTCTTCTTTCGTTTGGGGAACGAGGAAAAAAAGTGAGCCTCTAAGAACTACGAACTGGTAGGAGCTACCAAGCCTGTGGCTGCAAGAAACTGTGAATAGGTGGATAAGTACGGTAGCCTGTACCGTAGGTGAGTGGCCCTTGCCCTCACCTTGCTTCACGAAGAGATGAGCAAAGGCATGGGGACATTGCACAATTCCACGCGAAGACAGTGGGGTACAGAGTACTGTAGGGACGCTAAAAGGAAGCCTGTCGAGAATTGATGAGAACTGTTGCTCCTGCCTTTAATTCCGAATTTTGCAGTTTTTCAAATGCGTAAATCCCTTTTGGTAAGATTTCGTCGTTTAGCTCGTGGAAGCAGGATTCCAACCAAGTTGAAGTAGGTGGCAACAGCTCAGAAGCATGGAAGTGAAAACCTTGAACATCACTGTACAATGTACAGGTGTTATGTGTGGCACTCGTACTCACGACTCCTATTACGTACTGAGTGCAGTCGTACCCCCCACTCTGAAAGGTGTGAGTGACCAGTTTGAGTGCTAGCTATTAATAGGAAGTAGGATGGCCTGTCCACTGTCCAGGGGTTCTGAGCAGGAGAAGAAGAGATTTATTAACAAAAGGAGGCATTGGGTCATTATTATTTGTCCAATTAGGCGATGCTTGCACTCTGTAGTGTGGAGGAGTACGGTACCGGTACTACCAGAGGTACGTTGTGTTAGCTTGTGAATGTAGTCTTCATTCTTCCGCAAAAAGAGAACACGTTTGGATGTTCCAACCTTCTTTGGTCCAAAGAAGGCATTGAATCATTCACCTCGTGCCAGTCTACATCAGAATTAAAAATCCAGCGCTCCTGCTCGACTGCAACAATGGTTTTGGATGGCAATTGATGCGGCATCGAAGGATTCAATTCCTGCTCAGATACCTTGTCAATGAGACGATCGATAGAACGAGGAGGGATGTTATACAGGAAGCAAGAATGATGCTATGGTCAGCCGTAACAGGCATTTATCAACTTCACCCACTCGAATACCGAGCCGATACCGGTACATGTACCACCAGTAGTGCAGATTGGAGTGCACTACTGGTTTTTGACCAGTGGTTTCTTCTTGCATCATCGGCGACTTGAAGGCCCCTGTACTCGTACCCTCTATCTTCAAACTTGATTAACCCCCACTGGCTGATGGGTACTTGCTGCGAAGAGGAGTAAGGGGAGCCGCGCATGAGTACTGGCTGATTACGAGAGACTTGATGATGAGGGAGGAGGGTTGCGGCGAGGCAACGAAAGCAAGGAGGAAGCAAGCGCAAGTAAGACTGAATGAATCCTGAAGACTGAAGGCAGTACGAAGCAACTTTCTTCGGTTTCCTTCGGTTCACTTGAAATCTAAATCTAATACTGCGTTTGAAGGTCCACGCGTCACGCACGGTCTTAATGTTGGCATTCATTCAAAGGCATGCTGGGTGTATGACCCGAGACAAAACTTAAATGAGTTATGAAAATAAGGTTGCAGCAAACATTGCACCGCCACAATAATAATGATGCAACAGCAAACAAATCAACTCGGAGTAAATTGGATACTTTTTACTTGCTTGTTGGTGAGTCGAATCAATCCTTGCGTCAGTGTACGTCGTGGTTACAACGTGTAGTGGAAATAAGAGAGAAAGTTCTGTGTCGAAGGTTCGGCTCCTTGGGGTGATGATCGGTAATAGAGTCATTTACCTTTTCTGAATCGGATCAGCCCTACATAATAGCACTGTGGCTACTTGCCCAACGAAATTTTCTTTCTCCCGGGTAAATAGGATGGAGCAGGCCTGTTCCAGGCAGGCCTCTCAAGATAACTTACTCAGAGGCATTGTCTTTGACCAGACACCACGACGCCATGCAAAGTTTATGCAACATGTCGCTGTTGCGATGTGGTGATTATGAGTACGAATCACCTTCCGGTAGCGGTAAAGTGCTTTTAAAACCAATCCTTGCAATGCTCGACTCAAGCACCATCGCGCATGCCAGTCCCTCTTCTGATAAATACCAGGTACATACATTGTACCGGTACGGTACCTGTACCGGTACTACCGCTACCGGTACCAGTACCAGTACCGGTACGTTCACACATCGCCGCCAAAATATGGAGAGAATTCTCGGTAGAGTTAGGGCTTATTTCTCCGCCACCTCATTTTTCTTCTCTATTCTCAATCGACCATTACCACGTTGCAATGTTGCTTCTTGTTCCACAGGTCCACTGGTTCAAAGCTGCAAGCCCCACCAGTATCAGCAGCAAACCAACCAACGATGAGAGGACTTCTAGCTCTCTTGGTTGTCGCTCTCTCGACAAGGTTGACCTGTGGCTTTGTTGTTGGCATGGGTCGACGCCAACGAAAGCTGTCGCAGTGCCATGCCACGCCAAAGGGAACCGACATTTGTCCTCTGTTAGAAGCTCCTGCAGATCCATCCGCCACTTTCGAAGCCGCCTTAGGATGATTCTGGGGCCCTCAGCGCGACTACGATCACGTCGATGTTGAGGGCATTCTGGAAACTGTGGTGGGCTACACGGGTTCCAAAGACGAACAGGCCCACAGTCCGACCTACCAAAATGTACAAGATTTCGCCGAAGCCATGCGCGTCACCTTTGATCCCAGCAAAATTTCCTACGAGGAACTCTTGACCATGATGTTCTCCTTTGCCACTCCAGCCGATCCTCGGTTTGCGGGAACGCAATATCGTTTCGCCATCTTTTATCATACGCAAGAACAAAAGGCGCTCGCCGAGAAGGCTGTCGAAGCCCGAGGACGACTTGGTTCGTGGGTGGCTGTAGAGCCAGCATCTGACTTTTATCGAGCCGAAGAATATCACCAGAAATACATTGACAAGCAAACCATGTCCATGTTCATCTAGCTAGCGAAAGAGCTACGGTCCCAGACCACGGGTAGCATTCAGTACGGCGGAAAGAAGCTCAAATCAAACCAAAACCAAGAAGTGACAATGCAGAATGACAGCCAAAGAGTCCACGCACTTTTCACGAATGATTTGCAATAATATACTCTTTAGCTTGACATTGCATAATCTCTGCAAATGGGACCGGAATGATAATGAATGTAACACTATACCGTACCTACCGGTAGCTATATAGAGAATGTAGAGAATGGAAAGCTGTTCGCGCCCCCGTAGCTACGAGCTAGCACCCGGATTTAACAAAGGCGACAACATGAGATCCTTCAAGAGGAACGACTCGTGAGGCTGCATCGTTTTCGATTTTGGCACCTTTGCCGCCACATTCAGGCTCCTATCGGGCGGTATCGTCACCACGGTATTCTTAGGTACCTACCTAAGAACTAAGCTCGAGGCCAAAGATCTACATCCAAGAACTCCAAATGTTAGAAAAGTTCACACACGTCTAGATTACCATGGTGCAGCAATTACGGAATAGCTGTAGAGTTTTCATCACTGCATGCACAATCACATCCACAGAGAGTATCAGAACATGAAACCTTCTTTTGTGGCACTACCTATGTTTTTCGGAAGAGTCCTTGCAAGACTAGTCCCTCCAATGGACGCACAAAACGGTTAAATCACCGAGCTCTGAAGGCACACTCACCGAAATCCAAACCACCTGACACAACCGAAGCAAGCTTTGCCAACACGATCCATGCGTCGGGCTCGGTTGAATGAATGGATCGCAGAAAGCATTGCTGCTCCCGGATTGAATGTAACCAGACTTACTCGTCGTTTTGCCCGTAATCATCACTCCTCGCTCGGTGAGTTGGGACTGAGAAATTTAACCAATGTATTCCGATTGCTCGTGCTACTGAGTTCCGGCGCCCGCAATGGAATTGGCTCGTACCATAAGAAATGAATGTAGACTAGACTAGTCGAGCCCAGTCAAAAGTGCAAGCCCGAGAGGCAAAATCCTACATGATCTGGTCTAGCTAGCCAGAGGGAAGCTGTGCTTCTGGATCACGACCAAGAGAAGTGGTTCTTGTCTTTGTGTCATTGGTGGAGTGCATGGGAACATGGGAATCCTCTGCTGGATATTCCAGGACGCCTGAATTCAGTTTTGTCTCTGTGGTCGTGTGTTGGGACCAACCTCACTTTGCATGCCCGAAGGCCCCTCATCACCATCTCATGTACGGGCACGCATTATTGCTGGGTGGCAGTGCTCATCGTAATTAATGAATATCTGACACGATAGCTAGACTCGTTGTCGCCGAAGACCGCTGAAGACATGGGCCTTTTAAAAGCAGTTTTGGGCCCCATCGTGTACATGTCGAGGTTGCCGAAATACAGTAGGATGCACAAACTTTCTGTCCTCATGAAGGCCCGCTTTTCTCCTTCTCCTTGTTACTGTTTCGAAGGTTGCTCTCATCACCCCAGAGATTCTATTTGTTGTGTGGCCTTTTGATCTATCATACATGTATGACTTCTGTGAGCTTTGCGCCCTCGGCCCTGAATCTCGGCCCGGATTCTCGGTCGATCGCGAGATCTCCCGAGATCCGTGACTTAACTCCCACCACTGTCTTCCGGGTCTGAGAGGTTATGAGACCACCTTCCAACACCAATCGAATGCAAAACCCAACGACGAGAAAGTGTAGAACATTAGAAAACTAGAGAACCATTTCAGTTCCAAAGTTGCAACACAGTTTAATATTTTCTCACCATGACGACGGCAACTTCTACTACTACTAGTAGCGGTAGTATCCATCCCGACTTGTTGGTGGGAAAGAAACTCAAGCGAGAGCATGAGCGTTCCTTTCGCGAGCATGTGAGTGCTCCTACATCCGCGTTTGCCAAGGCGCAATTGGAAAAGATGGGTTGGTCGGAAGGCACGGGGTTGGGCAAGAAACGCAACGGCATCACGTCGCATATCAAAGTCAAGCGACGCAAGGAACATTTGGGAGTGGGTGGCAGCGAAAAACCGGAAATTGTGGCCGCCATGGGAGATTCCGAATGGTGGAAAGACTCATTGGGAGCCACGCTGGCCAAGTTGGGGGATAATAAGAAAAAGAAGAAAAAAGATAAAAAGAGCAGCAAAAAGAGCAGCAAAAAGGAGAAATCAAAAGCTGTCAAGACATATACGGACGAAGAGCTATTCCAGGCAACGGGAGGAGCTAGATTTGGAATGAGAGCTGGAATCACTAACAATCTACACAAATGGGTCAGGACTGAAACCAACAATAGTAATTCACCTTCTCCAGTTGATAATGCCTCGGATGATTCCGATATTGCTGCCAAAAATACAGAAGAACCCAAAGGCAAGGTCGCTACTGACTCTGATAAAAAGGTGGAAGAACCTTCTGATGATGCGGATGAAAAAGCAAAGAGAAAACGAGACAAGAAGGAAAAGAAGAAGAAAAGAAAACGAGAAGAAGCTACTCAAGTGGATGGTTCCACTAATGATCCTCCTTCAGGCGAGGAAGATACCGCTCTTTCCAAGAAAGAAAGGAAAAAGGCAAAGAAAGCTAGGAAGGAAAAGAAGAAAAAGAGCAAGACCAAAGATTGATGCATTGTGTGAGTCAGACTCCTTAGGCAATATCCTTTGGCTGGTATTTTCAACTTTCAACCTGCTCACTTGCTGGTAGCTGAGCAGCTTCAACTTCCACGCTTTAGTCTATTTTGGTCGCCACGTCTCCTAGTTCTTGCTACAGTAGATATTCGAGATATTTACCATTACCTACGCTCTTTCATCTCTACCGTAGCACCTCCTTCCAACCGCTTCTCTACCTAGCGAAAAATTTGGAGTGAACCGAATCTTGCAGTGGATTGTCCTAGCTACTGTAGTTCCAGCAAGTAGATGCAGTTAATTACAACTCCCCACTATCGGAAATGGTAATCACATTGAGTGGTTTTCCCATTTCAGTTCCGTTGGCTTCAATCTTTTTGACGACATCCAGACCCTTGGTGACCTTGCCAAAGACACAATGTTTGCCGTTCAACCAGGGAGTTTGACCGGTGCAAATAAAGAATTGACTGCCATTCGTGTTGGGGCCTGTGTTTAATTTTGTATAGTTTTTGTTTTGTAGTTCAGATCAAATACAGTGAAAGAGGCCATGGAAGCAAAAGAACGAAACAAACGCTTTTAGGTAAGAGCGTACAAGGGCGAAAGAAAAAAGCAAACCATGTCTGACAACCAATGCAGACGTACCAGCATTGGCCATAGAGAGGGTTCCTGTGTGCACAAGCAAAAAGTTGCAACCAGAGGAACGAACGTATTAGTTACCGGTACAAGCAAGAAAAGCTTCGCCTGATTTTTGTTTTTGTTGACATTGTGAATTTGTGTTCTCCAACTCCAACGCGCATGTACAAGCTCACGTACCGGCTCCACCATGGGAAATATCAAAGTTCTCGTCTTCAAAGGTTCTTCCGTAGATTGACTTGCCGCCTTTTGAAAACAAAAAAGGCCGCGTCGTGTATGTTAGTGGTTATTGTTGCTGCTCTGAAGCAAGACACACCAGTCTAACAACGCAAAAGAGCTCGTTCACTCACCGGTTCCATTTCCATTGGTGAAATCTCCTCCCTGAAATTAAAATGTGAGAACCGAACATAAATGCGACATTGTGTGTGTGAGTGAGATTGTCAAAGCTGTTGTCTTGTTCATCAGCAGCCTTGTATCCATAATATATTGAATAACACGCACCTGACACATGAATCCCGGAATGACACGATGAAATCCACTTCCTTTGTATCCGAATCCTTTGGAGCCGGTACAGAGTTGTTTAAAGTTCTCGGTCGTCTTGGGGACGGTACTCCCGTACAATCCGATTTCGATGCGTCCGGCCGGTTGGCCTCCAATGTCGATATCAAAATAAACCGTGTCGGTGATTTCCGCGTCCTTTTGGCCAAAGATACCGTCCAAAAGACCACCAATCATGGGGCGTGCCGTAGAACTAGTAGTAGTGATACTTGCAGCCTTGGAGGTGGGAGGAGCAAATGCCAGTGTGCTGGTGACAAGGCTGCCCAAAAGGAGCATTGTCATGCAAGAGCCAAGGGTATTCATTGTTCAAGGTGGTTCTTTTTCTTGCTAGCTAGTAGGGAAATCGACCAAGTAAAGGTTCAAGCCTGTCTTTTTTTTATGGCAGTGGTTTGTTGAAGTGATGCCAGTTAGTTGCAGCGATTATGCCAATGATCGAGTCCCATCGATCCATCCCCATGTTGTCAACCACAGAACCAGCGTGGTGACACTGTTCAAGCTATTTCGATCAGAGGAGGCACTGACGTGGAAAGATCCGAGAAAGATTCGATTCAATCACTGATACCCGTGATCCAACTCATTCGTGCATCCAGTATCTTACCGGTTTTGGCGAACACCGTCCAGCAGCTCCGGCGTTAGACGGAATAGAAAGAGTGAAGACGGAATAGATGCTGCTACATCGGCAGCAACCAACCATCATACTACAATCAACAACACCATGGCGGACGAGGAAACTCCACTCTTGAACAATAAGGACGAGAGTCCACCAAAAAAGACTCGACGCTTCCCGGATGCTTTCTACGATGTCAAAACAGGAAAGCTGCTGCAAGATCCCGTGGTAGCTCCTGGAGGGATTACCTATGAAAGGTCCACGTGGGAAGAAATCTGCGAGACAGAAGAAGTCCCTTCTGCCCCCGCCTATGACAATCGCGCGTTGAAACAACTCATTGAGGAAGCTCTGCTAGAGTCACCACCACCTGCTGGAGGTGGACGACCAAGTGCCCCTGCCATGCTCCTGAAAATGCACCACAATACCCAAAAGAGCATGCGAGATTTGATTGAAAAATCCATTTTACCCAGTGATGATCCCAAACCATTGAGTGATGCCTATTATTGTCCCATCACCATGAGTCTCATGCAACATCCTGTCATTGGGCCAGAAGGATATACCTTTGAAAAGGAGGCCATAGAACATTGGGTGGATGAAAATCAAGTGTCACCGCTCACCAGGACACCACTGCCCAGCAAAGAATTACTGTATCCCAACTTGGCACTCCAACAATTGCTCCAAGAGGAAGCGGACAAAGCGGATGAAACCAATTCTGATCCCTCCATTCGAGACTTCAAACTCTTGTTGTTGGAATCCAATACTACACAACAACAAGAAGAAGCACCCTACACGGGTCCCCGCACCATGGAAGAATGGCAAACATTACGAGATCAACGACGTCGATCCAATGCCAACGTGACACCAAGGGGGTTTATGGTCTTGTTTCTGGTGATTCTCTTGCTAATTCCCTACTTCATTGTGTATTTCCTCTTGTTTTCATGGTTTGGATATACTTTCTTTTTCCTGTGTTGCATTGTCGATCATTATCACGAGGGATCTTGTTATGGGTACTATGTACAGAGAGGCATGCAAAGAGCCATGCTCTGGTACTATTTGCGAGAAATTGAACGGGAATACGAGGAGCAACAAGAGGAGGAGGATGCGCCCGCCGCGGCTTGTTCCGTTTAGGATATGCATTCTTGATCAGGTTGGAGCGGCTCGAACGGATGCATGCAAGCAAGGGACAGCTAGCCATACAACAGCAGTGCTACGGTACCCGATAAAAGCACAATTGGCTGCCACCCAACAAAACTCTTAACCAACGCACCACCTCAAACTGGCGTCGTGCGTATCTGCAAGAACAATCGTTTCACATTGTTAGTGTAGGACTGGCTTGCTTTTGCATTTGCTTTTCTTTGGCAAAGAACTCTTCAATTTCGGCATCTGGATATCCTTGACAACAGTAAGTGGAATTTACCAGCACAGAGGTTCTGAAGACGGGACCCTGCGTGACTTTTGTTCTCGTTGCACTCCCATGTTCTGCTCTCAGGAAATGGGGCAGGGGGTTTAGAGAACTGGGCGGTTCCATGCACGCATCCAGTGGGAATTCTATTGGACGTCAAACGAATTGACTTGCGTGGAGGTAGCTACGATCAGCCAATGCACCATTGGATCAAAACGACGCCATGTTTTTTTTAGGGCCCGTGGAGCTGTAATAAGTTTCGTGCCGGACGAAGCATTTTTAAAAGTACTGCCTGCTTACTAAGTGAAGCCAACGAGCTACAGTCCACTGTTACCCAACTCCTTGTTTCACCCTGTTCCAACCAGACTGCTGATCCGGTTGGCTACTATTAAGAACGGCAAAAGATTATTCAAATTATACTTCTGCAACTAGTAGCCCGATTGCCTACGCTATCTTTAGGGCCAAGCACTCACGGCTCCAAAGACAAGCATAAGAAGCATCCAAATGACGCAGGGATTCACCGCAATGGTCGGAATATCTTTGGTTACAAATGTCATGGTACCGATTCCAAGACCAGCAAAGATCCAACAGTAGCCAAACGCCTGAAAAATGTTCTGAGTCAGAGCTAGAGCAGCAAAAAAGACTCCATCAATCATCAAATTGTTTCCAAAGTTGCGAGAGTGCATTTTTGACAGGGAAGTACTTGTACTCATTGTATGAGGAGCGCAAAACAAAACAAATCCGTTCAGCAGCAGCAGCAGACCGAATCCAAGAGTGCTATCGTTGGCAAACGGAGCATTGGTCCAGTTGGCGTAGACAGCAACGCAAGAGACCGCGAGGTGGATGTACTCGAGAGTCCACGAGAACCCAAACTCGGTGGGTGCGCGGGTGAGAAGGTTTTGGAATCGTCTGAAGCAATACGGAAGGACGGAGATCGCGACAGCTGGGTTCATACTCATTGTCTCGTAGGACAGAAACCAAAGGACCATCGTGGCAATAACTGTGAGGTAGCCCGAATTCCTTACAATATGATTGTCCCTATGAGTTGACTCAATGCCGTACCCTTCAGTAACCTTGTCCGGAGACAAAATGCAGCCAATGCTATAGAGAGACAAGACGGAGGCACCTGTAGTGGCCGCCACCAGCTTGGGGTTGACCGAGGCACCTCCGCGAACTCCCATGATGGCTTGGGTGGAAATGAGAGGGGATCCCCCGTTCTTTGCATTGTAAGGAGCAGAGAGTTTGGCTTTTGGCTGCAGCTGACCAAACGGCAAAACTGGCTGGCTGCTGCTTGTTTCGCGCGCCGCCGAGGCGTGGGCTGACAAAAAGAACAAAGGTGCGATGAGCTTAGCAATCCACTTCATGATGAAACGGCACGGGTGAGTATCTATGCGAAGCGAAGGGATGTGTTGAAGGGACGAAGCAAAGGATTGCAGGAGGGTAAGGATGGTGCAGGCAGGAGAACTATGAAATCATTGGCAACTTTGATGAGTATCGGCTTGTTTCTTTGCTCAAAGCCATCGAGAGGCACAATCGTCCGTGCCGGTACGGTACTGTACCGGTGGTACCTGGTGCCAGCAGTCGGTGTCAAAACTTCAGCGCCACGGCAGCACGACTAAAAAGATCCGGAGGATACGACAAATTTAATTAAAAGATCATTCTTGGTAATTATTGTAGTCTATGTTGGGGTTTTGGACCTACAGTACCTGGTTCACTTGCAGTTGTGAGTCCCGGTCCAGAAAAGATCTTTTCCCGTTGTAGGCCAGACACTTTAGGCCAAAGACAGGTTGTGATAGATCTAGTGACACTAGCTAGCTAGAGTTGTGATTTGAGGACCGGCGTCGGCGAGGTTCCAGTACATGTACAGTAGAGGAAAAGAAGCGGAATCGGGAGTGGCCAGTAGGTTCCGGGGATCACGGGCGACAATTCATCGACAGCCAACACGCCAAAGGACTGGACATTACACTTGACACCGTTTGGGCTGATCCACCAACATCTACACAAGAAGCTATCAGTCCTCACTGTTCACCCAAACGAAGCAGTACCGGAAGGCAAGAGTCGAACACGAAGAAGACGGTCGACCGTCAATGCATCTGAAGAAAAGCAGAAAGACGAGGGCCACAATCCACCACAAGCGGCCAAAACCAGGGTTTCTGTATTTGCCAACCTGGAGAATGATACCTGGGAAATACGAAAAGCTCAAGAAGCTTCATCTAGTAGACTGCAAGAAGAAGAACGACAATCCAAACGAGCCAGGCACAAGTGCACATCCAATCGAGCGGAAGCCGACGATCGTCTTTGACCAGCCAGCAGTTCAAGAGCCCTTCCAAGCTCACGGAGGAGGACAGCAAACTGCTAGCATCACCTTCGTCCTTGGGTCGTAGAAGAAGAACACTGACAAGGGACAGCGGCAGCAGTAAAACCAAAAAGAAATCCACCTCCAAATGGAAAAAGGACAAAACAGGAGAAGGACGGCCCTTTCGTCGAGTCTCTCGGACGCCCGCAGTTTTCAGAAACTGCTTTCAATCCGTGACCTCACACAAGGTGATCCAGATCACGATACATGCAGTCAAAGTCAAGAGAGGGCATCGTTATCGTCTGTTGCTTCACAGCCAGAGTCACTTCTCAAGTCACCCGTCACAAAGCCAAGTTTGGGGCTAAGTAGCATTGATGATGCTGACCTCACACTGACGCCCCCACCACCTTTGACACCATACTCTCCCTGCAACAGTGCTCATAGTCGCCTGGGGGACAATGGGCCCTCTAAGAAGAAACTCAATGATCTAACTTGAATTCTTCGGGTTTTCCATTCCCTTGCAACAGAACCAGCACCTTGACGACTCAACAGGAGAAGACACCAACAAGAGACGGGGCCAGCCTTCTGCACAGCAACCTGTATCGGTATTGAAGGGGGAAAACGCTATTCAGCCGAGCAGCAACAACACAGAAGAATCAGGTACAGTGCAGCAGCTGGCTCTCCGTCTGGATGCTGAAGAGATCCTCGACTTTGAAGCTGAACTCGGTTTTACAGAAGATGTGTTCAGTCATGGTGTAGTAATGACATGGCTTCGATCGATGCATTCGAGGCAACCCAACCGGAACGTGACAGATTCAAGGCTCGCATGCCGGTACAGGAGTCTCATCTCTACAGGGCCTTTGATAATCTAGTATACAGGAGTGGTTCTAATATTGTTGCTAACCACCATAAAGACTTCCTTTTACAGTCTCTGGTATGCAAATAGTTGGCTCTTGACCAGGCCGGAGAGCGGCCCGAACGGACAGCAATGCAACAGCAACGCTACCCGGCAAGAGCGCAACTGCCACCCAACAAAGCGTAACCAACACCCACCCCCCCAGGAACTTTGTTTTGCTCATGTCGTGCCTTCTAGTAGAAAGCACTGGCTTGCTTTTACACTTGCTTTCTACCACCAGATGACATTGGGCATGTTTTCCTTCGCAAAAAACTCTTCAATTTCGTCATCTCGATATCGTTGGCTAAAGTGGAATGCCACAAACACTATGCCCGGGTGTTGTTCCACAATGGGTTTGAGTTGGCTCCAATGGACGTGCTTGGTTTGAATGGCATTCTCCAATTCGTCGTCCCACAAAAAGGTACATTCAATAAAAACCACCGGATAGGCCAAAATGGAGGGATTCAGGGCAAACACATCAATGGATGTATCGCAAACGTAGGCAAATTTCTTTTGGACCACCTCTTGCGTGATTTCGACTCCTTCCTTGCGCAACTTGCCAATTTCCTTGCCGGGTAATTTCAGATATTCCGATTTGAGCTTGTGTTTCTTTTCGGCAAATCCATAACTAATTGTTGGTATGGGATGGTCACACTCGAATACTTGAATCTCCAGGTCGGTCTTTTTGGTCGTAAGTTGAAATTGTGAATGTGGTTCGAGTCCATGAAAGGTATAAAAGGGCGACGCATCACAGTCTTCCATGGCATTGACGGAAAACATGCCCGACACGTACTGCAAAATGCGGGGTCCCGCTTTGGCCACGGCATAAATGTGCGGCTGATGGGATTCGTCTCCAATCAAAGTGAATGGCAAACAGGCACAATGATCAATATGAGTGTGAGTAATGAGAATGTGGGTGGGATTGCCGAAATGTTGAGGACCCGCATCCAGAAGCATGTCCAAGGCGGCAATGTAGAATCCTGTGCGGTAGGCACTCCGTGAGTATCCACAAATATCCCACGGTGTGCCCGGAATGACGAGTTTCTTTTGCCAGTGCGACATTTTGACCTTGAGAGGATCCATGGACGCTTGAGTGAGTTTGAGATTTTGCATCCGGGGGTTCTCTTTGGTGGAGGCCGCTTCTTCAGCGTCCTTGGGTTGGTTGGTGGCTTCGGACATGGCGTTGGTTGTGTGCTTGGATTACTGTAGTGGGTGTTTGGGTTGCTAAAATGATAGCGGTACACTACCGGTATGGCGTTTGGGTTGCTATGGTAGATGTTGCTATTACTGTGTGGTTGTTTGGTCACTACTACCGGTACCAGCTAGCAGTGGGGGTCAGAGGACTGTTGTGCTGTTGTGGTTGCCAACCGGAAAGATCTGGCTGGATGCAAGTCTGAAAAAGGTATGTTTGGATTCATTCACGCTCATGGGGATGGGCAAATCTGGCTATAGCCCTGTAGTGTACTCAACAGGAGTGACTCAGAATGTCAGAAAAAGGATAAAATGAAGATTTTAGCGGGAGGCAAGATTCAATTGGATTAGATTGCGTTGGATTAGATTGAATTGGATTGAATTGGATTCCAAATAGTACTGTTATTTGTATAGTAAACTGGATTCCACTTTTAGGTCAAGTGGAGCTACTAGACTATAGCAAGATCATGTCAATATGGGTCTATAGAGGTTGTAAACCTCCCCTCCAGACTAGGATCCAGGCAAAGGCAATGGCCCTGGTTATACCAGAGAGGCCTGCTGCATGTATCAGTTTAGAGCTGGAAGCCAAAATGCGGGCGGCAACACCCATTCCAACACCATCCGCAGCAACAACACCGGCTCAGCCCCCCAAGAACCGTGCCTTCGTCAAACCATTCCGCGAGTGGAAGAAGGGTCGACCGCATCATCACTCCCGCAACGACAAGTTACAACGGACGGAAGGGTACCATCCAAGGGGCCCGCCCTGGCAGATGGCCTTTCTGGGACATCAAGCTGGATCCCAAGGTGCCTGGCGGGTATCAAATCGACGTATACAAAACCGACACCGGCTTCCGCTTGATGAAAGCAGTTAACTCTACAGCCGGGTCGGAACATAAAAAACGCAGCAACAACAACAACAGCAGCAACACAGCAACACGCAAAGCTCGCCACCTCCCTGGCAGTCGGCGGCGTAAATGGCCGGCTTGGCCGGCCGACAAGGGGGATTATATCTATGGTCAGTCATGAGGTCTGGCTCCACGGAGGGTAATTGGATGAAAGTAGGTCTGTCTGTGATAACATGCAGCAGGCTCTCTGGTATAACCAGGGCGCTTTGCCTTTGCCTGGATCCTAGGCTGGAGGGGAGGTTTACAACCTCTATAGACACCATATTGACATGATCTTGCTATAGATCTAGTGGCTCCACCTGACCTAAAAGTGGAATCGCCAACCTTCCCAGACAGGGAATGAAGAGATTCTACAGAACGGGGAGTATGAGTTAACAGGGAGCCGACCATAAGGAGACTGACGGACAGGAATCGGGGAGAGCCACTCATCCAAGGATGAGGTGGTGGACCGAAGTGGCGGGTGCACAGGTGGTGTGCCTATGTGGTGTCGATGACTAGCTAGAAGGACTACTAATCGGGCGGCTACAAATCAGGTTCACTTTTTCTTAACCAGAGTTGCAGCCGCCCGACACCAATTTTCCTTTTTCCATTCCCTCCCGCCCGGGTAAATTGGATGGAAGTAGGTCCGTCTG